CCCCCGACCATCCCCGGCCCCCCCCTGACCGCACTCGTAGAGTGGTTGAGGGCCTGCACTCGAAATTTGTGTGGTGGCGCCCCAAAACAGAGCACAAAAATAAACGAATTGTTGCCAGAGAATTGTGGCTTATCAAGCAGCCGAGCCGCACAAACAAGCCTTTCAATTAAGATACAAAAAACATAAATCTTTGCGCCCTGCGACAATGGTGGCTCGTTGTGTGGAGAATGCGGGCATCGGGCTGGCACTGAGAGTCGCGTGTCCGCCCGTCCGCCCGTCCGCCACCCAACACTTGGCTTCCAACAACCCACCCAAAACTCTTTCCCAACTTCTGATGTCATGCCACCAGACATGCCAGGCCTGACTCTATTTTGATTTCTCATTTCTCGTTTCAATCGCTTCAACTGCAAACAAGTTGCTCACGAATGTTCAGCATATTGGATGTTCGCCAGACACAGCGTTCGACTGCGGGAAGGTCGGGGGGGATGGGAAGCCATTGATTTTGTTGTATTCGGAAATAACCCCTCTTTCAGAGACTTGTACTAGCCACGTCTCTGGGCGCCTTATCGACAACAAAAATACAACAACAAAACAACGAAAATATAAACCTTATCGCGAACGTCTCCGCTCGAGTGATAACTGTGTGCCTGCCCGCCGCACGACAGGCAGATAAGTTGTACGTACTCCTATGTACGAATACGACGATTCTCCCGGTCGAAAGAAGTGCTAGTTGTTGAGCAAATGAAGCACTTCTCCCACATGCTTCTGGGGTTATTTTATTATTTTCCTGTACATAAGAACTTCCAAGATAAACCCGAAAGTAACAGACGGAGAAACGTTTTGTCGTTGAGTCTTGGTTCTATTCTTCTCGACTTTGTGTAGTTTCTTACAGAATATAGAATGGTATTCAGATAAGTCGTACATATAGTTAGATGTATTACGAGAATATATACGAAAGTGAGCGAAGAAATTGAATTTTTGCTGATTAAAGCAAAAACTCGACTTTGTGGCGTGTAGAAATATTCCTATTAAACCTTAGATCTCAGTAAGAATTGGGAGGATTTGTTGCTTAGATGGAGACTTGGTTAAGTATTTTGGTTTTTCAATAAGTAAATTGCTGTCTATTTGTTTTGAATAATTCTTTTAAAAGGTTCACCTTTACAGGGTTGTCTTTTAAAGATACAAAGGATGTATAAGAAAGGAAAACAAAACAAAATATATTCCCAATTTTATGTGACTTTGGCAGGGACTTTCCACTGTAGATTCTCTTACACCAAAAAACGCCTTAAAATTCCAGTTAAACCTTGAATCCTTTTAGTACATTTTCACACATGGATAGTCTGTCCAAAGATACACTTGAAAGATATGTACTTCTCCAAATGTTACGTGGCACATCTTGAGGCCTCAAGGCCACATTGTCCACCCACAAGTCTTGTCCACGAAGCGATTTCGAATGCTTTGCTGATTATTATGATTTGGTGGCTGGGGAATCGCAGAAATCCTTGGGCTGATTGGAGAGTGCATGCCATTACGTAAGGCCGCCGGGGAGGCAGCTGTTTCGCATTCATCACCATTAACACATTTTCGGCTTGACTGCATCAATGACGCTGCCGGTGGCGCTGGCGGTGTCGTTCTGGCTGCTCCGTCATCATCATCATCGTCATCGCCATCGCCATCGCTGTCGCTTTTTCTCCTTCTAATCGGGGCACAAATTGTTTTTTGCTGCAACCATTTTAGCCGTTGCATTTCAAGGCCACAGAAACTCTGAGTGTGAGGGAAAGCGAAATGTCGAGCACTTTGCGTGCCTGCCTGCAGGGCGGTGTGGCGCATGGCGTGTGGCATGTGGCAGGGGACTTGGCCCCGCGGCATCTCTCGTGGTGCGGTGGGGCCCCCCGCACTTCTGAGAGATTTGTGACTCGACTGCAGTTGAAATTTGATTGCCAAGTTTTTAGTTTCTGTGCATTTATTATCCGCCTTTTGTTTCGGCATCGATTGTCGCCATTTTGTGGCTGTGCCTCCCCACCGAATGGGAGGGAATTCTATAACAAATGAACAGAACAGAGCAGAACAGAACAAAACACAAATAACAAATATCATTAAATAAATTAATTGAAAAACTGAAATGCCAAGCCGAGGCGCAAAAGCAACTGGTTCTCGCATCCAAACAAAAACTCGTTCTACTGCGGCGGCATCTCCTCCTGCTGCTGCTACTGCTGCTGCTAAAATGTATCTTTAGTTTCTGTATTTGTATCTGTTGTTTACTAATTCCTTGAGTAAATGCAAATTTCGTGTGCGGCTTACTCGTTTTGCGACAGGTGCCACACAGTCGCAGCCACAGCCACAGCCACAGAATTTAATAGCAAATGCAAAACAATTACGAATATCTGTATCTGATAGTACGCTTTCGGTATGGGTATCTATGTATCTTGTATCTTGTAGCATTGAACGTTTCGGTGGCTCTGCCCTCTCTTCGATTTATTGCTCATTTGGTTTTGTGGTCACTGCACAAAAAACCGAAAAAGAAACGCAAATAACAAAAAATAAAGAAAAACCACACACACACACACACACACACACACACACTGACATCGCATTCAATGGTCAAGGTCGTTTGCAGTCAAATCGAAAGCCAACACTTGGACACTTAGAGTGCCCCTATAAACGAGTGGTAGACAGCAGCAGCACTACCACAAATATAACAGCAAAATACACAAAATGTTTGTATAATTAAACGCCATTTTAAACAAATAAATAAATGCGCGTTGTCTGTCACTGCAAAATGTGGCTGTTGCTGCTGGCTTTTTTTGGTTTCTTTGGGTTCGTTTTAATTAGCAATGAAATCATAATAAAATAAACCAACTCATGCATAATTGAGCTGCAAGTTTTCGAGTTTTCATTGCCGTGCACACGCTCACAACAAAAACTCGCTCGGTTTTTGATTTGCCTTTGAATAAACATAAACGATAGACTCAAAGGAGGAGGAGGCTTGGGCGAAAGATTATGGATAGATTTGAAACCATGAAATTTGTTGAATAATTAAATGATTAGCGAATGTCGTATTCCGTATATTCGATGGGAATTTAAAAAGATGAGAGCTCTCTGGGAAGCCTCATGGGAACTATACTGCACGATCTGAAAGATCTTTAAAAGAAATATGCAACAGCATATCATAGAATTTTAAGACTCCTATAAGACCATCGCCTAACAGAATGGATACATTGAAATGGGTTGAGTAATTCCATACACCCAGAGAACCTTTAAACTTACATATGGGCGCTCACCATATGGGTGCTCCCCTGCAACCCCTCCGTAACATTTCTATGGATTCCAGTGATTCATACCGTCGTCTGCTTACCATCCAGCCATTCCACACACGCATATGCTCGACATTCACAAATGCTTGATTCAAATCAACTTTTTGTCTCTAACTCAATCTCAATCTCTGTCTCTCTTTCTCTCGCTCGCTGTGTGTTTCAATCATTTGCCTGCCTTTGATATATGAGAATGCCTCCCCTTCACACCACCCAAGCCACGCTTTTTAGAAGATACTCGTGTAACCTTCCACCCCTCCCGCCAAGAACCAGAACCATGTCCCTGCTCCGCCCTCATTTTGTATATATTTGTATATATGCCTATACTAAACAGCATCAAAACGAATCGAAATCAAGCGAATCCATATACTCGTACCCCCCTCCCAGTCCACCAAAAACTGTTTGTATCTAAATCTATCTAAATGTTACTCACTTGTGTGTGTTTTACTACTCGCGAGAACTGCATTGCCACTCCGACAGATGCTGCATAGATACATACGTACGTTTGTATCTGTTGGATCGGCTGCAATGCATCGCGTACCTATATATTTGCCTAAATGTTTACTGTATGTACGTATATTTATTATTGCTGCATAATTCACTCATAAATATTTTTTTCTTTTTTCTTTTTTTCATATAAACGTTTACCAAAAAAAAAAAACCAAAAATCGCACATTCCACCACAAAACCACCAAATAAAAAATATCAACAAAAAAAAAAATACAATAAAAATCCAAAATAATCGAAACTAAACCAAAAAATGCATTGAAATCTAGAAGGATCATAAAGATATATTGAGTACATGCATATATGTGTATGTATATGGTCCGGCGTCCATCAACTGTCACTGTCACGATTACGATAGCCGAGAGCGGACTGATCGCTTGATCGATCAATAACGATAACGATAGCGATAGCGATAACGATAGCCCTAGCTGTAACTCTGTAAACGATAGCCTGAGCCCGCGCCTGCGCCTGCGCCCGCGCCTATGCCCATCGCTAACCCGCTGTGTGTGTGTGTGCATGTGTCCCGGCATCAGTAGAGCGCCCCAGGACCTCCTGCGACTGACTGGCTGCTGCTGCGACTCCCGCCACTACCGCCACCGCCACCGCCACGCCACCATCGCCGCCGACTCCTCATCATCCCAGCCACCAAGCCACCAAGCCACCAGCCACCATCGCTCACATAGCCCATCATACTTTCAGATGACAGTTGCGGATCCCCCCAGACACAGATAGAGATACAGACACACAGACTAGGATCGTTTGGTCGTTTGTTCGCTCGCTCGCTCGCTCGCTCTGTCGCTCGCACACACCTAAAGCCAAAACAGAAATCCAACCAACAAAAAAAAGCAAACAAAAATCAACAACAACAACAACAACCAAGCCAAAAACTAAATAATACCAAGCTAAACCCAGACGCCTCATTATCAAACATCGAAAGTTTGCGTTGTCGAATCGAATCGAATCAAATCAAATCAAATCAAATTGAATCAAAAGAGAAACATATACCAAAAGTACCAGTAGCAAAAACGCATAAGCAGAACGTAAAAGTAAACGCAAAAGCAAACGCAAACGCAATCATCAGTCAAAGTCGATAGCCCAAAAAGCAGTCAACATTCAGTTAAAAATGGCCGAAGACGGTACCATGGAGACATGTCCAAGTCCTGAGATCGGCGATTCGCGCAAAAGGCCGCTCGATTCCGATCCGGAAAATGAACAAACTAAACGCTCACATTTCAGTTCCGGTAAGTTGATCAAAATCCAAATCCAATTCATACAAAAAAAAAAAGAAAGAAAGAAAAGAAAGAAAGAACAGACCAAGAAAATCAGAAATGAAAAGAAACAGAAAATATTTCAATCGCTCTTGCATATTCCATTATCGTGCTCTCTATCTCTCTCTCTCTCTATCTACCTCTCTCTCTATCTCTCTCGTTCGTTATCTATCCACTGCTCTTTATCTCCGATCTCCGCAGCGTATATATAATATAACTCATTGAATTTTGTCGCCTAACTTTTTGATCGCCGAATCGTGCCGTTGTTTCCTTACTTTCTTTCTTTGTTGTATAGTCATTTTTCGATGTTACTGCAATACGTATCGTATCGCATCGTATCGTATATCGTATATCGTATCGTACATCTGTATGTACATATATCCCTGCCATCAGATCAATCCTCCGCCTCCTTCTCCCCTGTCTCCCTTCTCGTATCTTTCGTATCTCTCACTGTATCTCAAAATGTTGTTGCTTTTCATTGTCGCTGTTCGTTTTGTTTTAAGTAATTTCAATTAATCCGCACGGGATGCAGTTGTGCCCCCGAAACGTACGTTTTCTGATTTTGATTTGTAATTAAGTCCGATATAGCGTATACGCCCACAGGGCCGGCCCCCAAAAAACACACACACACACACACACGCACACCCAATCTCATGCTGCTGCTGCTTCTTGCATGACAACTGGCATCGTGCATCGGGCATCTGGCATATGGCATCTGGCATTTGGCTGGGTCGAATCTTTGCGCAGGATTTGGCGCCGAGACACTCTGGGCCCAGTTTGACCCATTTTCCCAATGACCTCCGCCTGCAGGACGGCTTCGCTTCGTGTGCTGCCTGCTGTCTGCTGTGTGCTGTGTGCTCCTCCCATCGTCTCATCAATGGCTTGCAATTAGATACAATACCGAGTCTGGCCCTGAGCTGGGACTGCAGCTGGGGCTGACTGACTGAAAGAGACCATAATGAATGGCATTTGAGCAGCTTCGACAGCTACTTCTCCAGCTCATCATCTCTTCCTCGAGAATAGGTCGCCCCGCCGCCATTCATATGCAAAGTCAAAGATTAGCGTGTGCTCAAAAGAAGCTCCAACATCGGTCGGTCGGTCGGTCAGTCAGTCAGTCAGCCATTGCCAAACCCCATACAAAGTGTGTGTGTGTGTGTGTGTGTGTTTGACCACGAGCCATTAACTAGTTGCTTGCTTTGCATGATTTGTTCGGGCCAAAACCAGCTGCCAGGCAGGCTGGCTGGCTGGCTGGCTGGCTGGCTGGCTGGCTGGCAGCCCCAAGGTGAGCCGCCACGACGACAGGTACTTCGATTGCGTCGCTGTCGTCGCTCGTCATAGACACAAAAATAGCAAAAGTGTAAATGTTAGAGTCTGTTAGGAGCTGTCGCCCCCGCGGCAGCCCGCGGGCATGGCCAAGCCTAACATTTGATATTTAGATATATACGATTACGATACGTATAGATAGATACAAAATACTCCCGCTCGCACTCGTGAGAGCCCCAGCAGCTGAAACACGTTTTCAAAATTTCTTAATTGCTAGCCGAATGGCTGACTGAGTGACTGAATGACTGAACGATGGACTTAACTTGGCACAAAGTCTGTTTGTCAATTGGGAACATCGGGCGGGGGGGATGGCAGGGATGGAAGATGAGATACGAATAATGACACGATTTTCGTTTTACAGAGTAGGCAATGGAAACAATACCATTCGATTGGTATCCAAATTCCAAGTAATTTTATTTTTTAAAACCAAACGACAAAAAAATCAATATTTTATCTAAACTTTAAGTGCTAATTTGTTGTATCTTTGGGCTGGGAATGCGGAAATCTACTGAGTTGACAAGGCATTACTAAGGTAAATATTCTGATGTTCCTATGGAAGTTTTTGCTTGATTTTGGTCGTTGATCGATAGGTTGTTCGGTATCTGTTTCGGGTGGGAAAATGATTAGTTTTTCTTTGCTTAGCTGCAGGGTCTTCGCGGCAAGATTGAGATGTGTATGGACACAGCTGCACTTGTCGTTAATGAGCCACCATTAAAGACCGCCATTGTGTGTCTATTGTCTCCTCATCGGCTGTGGAACAGGTCCGTATTTATTTATTTATTTATTTAGCTGTCTTGATAGCCAGTCAGTCAGTTGTTCATTTATTAATATTTATTTCGTGTTCTGTGTTCTGTTTTCTGTTTTCTATCTTCGGGCTGTTGTTTGTTATTTACGGCTGTCAGAATAGAATTATTAGAGTTTTTAGAAGCTGTCAGGAATAGTTGAAAAACCACACACACACACACGCACAGGCACACACACACACACGCACAAGGGGAAAAACAGCTTCAACGAAAGGATGGAGGGAGGGTCTGAGGCTCTGGGGTTGGAAATGCGTCAGCAGCGACTGAGGCTGCAAAGGAAATGCAGTAGAAAATGAGAAAAATAAGGGGGCGGGCGGGTCAACGTGTCGGGGTCGGAGCCGGAGCTGGGGCTTATGTAATCAATGCTGGAAAATTATGTATGAGTCTGTGTGGCTGTGTGGGTGTGTGGGTTGGATGGGGGTGTATAAGCATAAAAGCCGAGCCGAGACGAGCCATAAGCCGAGCGCATAAAAGACGAGCACACCGCACAGAGACGAGGAGAGAGAGTGAGTGAGTGAGAGAGCAACGAGAGCTGACAGCAGCGGCGAGCGGTTGACCTACTTTGATGACAATGCGGGTGTGCGAAGTGTGCGTGTGACCACGCTCTTGTCGATGTGTGTGTGTGTCTGTGGCAAGTGCCTAGGCAAAGGTCCTGCGCAGTGGCCGCACGAGCCGCCAGACCCAGGCCAGGAGCTGCACTGCAGCATTTGGCGCCATTGCAGCCTGCCACCGAGTCAGAGGCAGCCTCGCGTCAGCCAACGTCCTTGAGTACCGCTATGTAACTGGGTTGGCAGGCTGCTGCCATGGCTGCCACTGCTGCAACTGCTGCTGTTGCCTGGCCACATCTCAAGTGCGTTTACTGCCTGCGGGGCACCCACCACCTTGCTCTCTCTCTCTCTCTGTCTCTCTCCCTCTCAATGTTTTTGGTATCTTTCTCTGGCGTGTTTTTGGGTTACCTTATTCTTAGGTGCATTCTATTGTTGCAGCTCAAGTGTTGCTGCCACTGCTGCTGCTACTGCTGTTGCACTTGTAGAGCATCTCCGCCCCGGCCCCTGCTCTGGCTTGGCTTGGCTTGCCCTGGCCTGGCCTCAAGTGGCCTACTAATAACTCGAGGGCCAACTATTGTGGCACGAGTGGTAGCTTCCCTTTCGACCAGTGATTAGGCCAGAAAAGGGAATAGGCCAATCAGGCTCGCCTTAGCCTCCGCCTCCGCCTTTGCCTCTGCCTTTGTGCCGTCCAATAAATTGGGTCACATGCATAGGTATTACGCATACGCAGTGTGTTCCTCCCAGTTTGCGGATCATTGGGAAACGCGCGTTGATTGCTCACTGAATGGCAAATACAATCCGCATGGGGATCCGCATTGGGGTCCGCTCCAAAACGTGACACGTTCACTCTTTTGCTGGCTTATCAACGCATTTCGGAATGGCTGTTGGCTGTTGGCTGTTGCTTTTGGTATCACATGTTGCCACAGCAGTTTCTATTTTCGGCACACGCCCCCCAATCTGTGGCTCTCCACTGCTCTCCACTCTCCGCTGCCACTGAAATGCTCTCCCTCTCTCTCTGCTGATAATGGAGGACCGACTAAAGTGAGGCAATCAACGAGCGAGTCCGAGTCGGTCCCCGCCATTAGATCATACGCACACACAGGCAGCGACATCATCTCTGGTTATGATCGCACACTCGTGACTCATTAGCCAATGCTCTCGCACCATTCGCTCGCTCTCTCCACGCGGGCTCGCTCGCTCGCTCTCTCTCTCTCTCTCTTCCGAACTCTATGCTTGAGTCTGGTCTCCGTCTCCGTCTTCGGCGCACGGAATTCTTCAGTTCGGTTCAGTCAGTCGCTCGTTTCGTGCGCTCGCTCGTCGTCGTCGCTCCAGCTCCGTTCCAGCTCCCGCTCCCGCTGCCCGACATCGCCTTCGCCTTCGTCTTCGCTTCCGCGCGCCAGCCATTCTGATAGACACACTCTACATTGGCTACCCAGGCAGCAGCATGTTGTTTGCCAGAACAACGACACCCACCACCCCCACAATGATGCAGCAGCAGCAGCAGCAGCCGCAGGAGAGCCACCTCCTCCAACAGCAGCAGCAGCCACTGACGCCATCGTTTCAATTACAGCAGAGTTTCTGTATGTGTTAAGTGCAATTTGGTCATAAGTTTTTCCCTTGTATCTTCCATATCTCCCCCGTATCTTTGTATCTATCTTCCCCATGTGTCTCTCTCTATCTGTGTGCCTGTGCTTTCTTGTTGACCTTGGCAATTAACGTGTGCTGCAATGCAATGAAAAACTCTACGAATAATTATGATTATGGGGTTTATCTGCCCCGCTTTAAACGGCTTAAAAACACTGCTCTCCGCACGGAGACACACCGCTGCGTATGCGTAATATTCCAATATGAATATTAGGCAACACACACACACACTTCAGCGACAATTAACTGGCTGTCAACTCGGTTTATCTAGTATTTCAAGGCCAGCACCACCGTTTGGTGGGTTCTCTCTCTATTTTTATTATTATCTCGCCTGCGAAAACATTCCAGTTGTGATTCGATTTGAGACTCCAATTGGAAATACTTTTCCATAAATATTTGATTTTGTAAGCCCCCACACACACACACACACAAAGAGCAGAGCCACGAATTCAGTTCAATGTCAGGCAAAATAATGATTATTCAGAGTCACAAAACTGAAACTCTGAAACACTGAAAACTAAACCAAAGCGAATGCCTAAATGCCTTGGACAACGATCAACGAACGACCAGCGACAGACGACAGACGACAGACGACAGCCCAACATGAAGTTTGACCTCAGCAGAGCCCGACCTGGTTCGGGGGGCTTTATCAGTGGATTCTTGAAATCAATTCGAAGCGAATGTCCACTATAATTAATTCAAGAGTCGCGTTGTCAGGCCGCCTGACTGCCCGAGTGTGTGTGTGTGTGTGTGTGTGTGTGCTCGGTACTTAGGCCAAACCAAGCCAAAAAAAAAAAAACAGAAAAAAAACTATATAAAATCTCGGCTTGATTTGAGGCTGAAATGCGGGAAGCAAATGTAACCTTGAAAAGTGATTTGAATGTGGGCAAACATGTCTCGCTCTCTGTCTGTGTGTGTGGTGTGTGTGTGTGTGTGTGTGTGCGTGCATGAAAAAGCCAAAAATAAGTTGAGACACTCACTCATTCACTCACATACGAGTATGAGCCACAAAACCCCCACATAGCAATGACCAAAAAAAAAGCAACAAAAAAAAAGCACAAAAAAATGTGCTCACGTTGCTTCTCGGTGCTACCTTTCGGTAAGGTAACCCGTAGCCCCCCCTTCCTGAAAAGCGAAATACGAAAAGACAACAAACCGAAAGATAGAAATAAAATGAAAAAGAAACGCTCTAGAGGCGTTTTACTTTTATTTTTCTCGGCCAGTCCTCTGTGTCTTTTGTCTGTTTGCCATTTGGCGCAAAAATGTCTCGAGAAATGTGTTATTTATGCGTGCCACAAAACCACAGGCAAAACATATTGCCGCAGAGCATCTCTGTGGAGCTCAGCCTCAGCCCCAGTCGCTGGCTGCCTGCTGCCATTGGCCCCCAGCTTCATTGTGTAATCGGCGTTTTGGCTATTGCCAACCAGTTGCTAATTTTGCCTGCCATTTGGCAACACACTCTGGCTCTGGCACTGGCACTGGCTCTGGCTATGGCTCTGGCGATGGCAGGTGCTTTTTTTGTTGCCCATTGAGCCCGCATTTCAAATCATATTTTTCTGTCGAGACTTCTCAATGGCGGGAACAGCAGCGCACAATAAATCAATCTCCGACATCCCAGAAAGGGTTTTCCACTCCGCGATGATCTCATGGCTGTGTTACGCCCACAGTTGGCTTTGCATATTGTTTTTTTTGTTGAATTCCGTTTTAATAATTTCTCAATTTAAAATTTTCTACTAATTTCTCGAAATTGCTGCTATTTAATAATGTCCACCCAAATGCCGCATTCATGCTTGGTTTGGCAATACCTTGCCACACATTCCGTTTAATGGCTGTGTGGTGTGTGGAGCGGATTTCGAACAGAGTCCAAGGTTTTTTGGATAGCTTTGATTTGGCCCAAAAGCAGTTCTTGTTTAATCGATTGGTAATTGTTAGGCAGAGTCATAGAGTGATAGAGTATATTCTCCTATCCATTTCCGATCTATCACACACACACTCTCATGCTCATACACGAATCATTTTCAGCTTCTGGCTTATCAATGGGGCAGTGGCAGGGGGTGGGGGAGGGAGGAGGGGCTTCCGCTGTTCCATCAATTAAAACGCTTTCGATGACCATGATACTCGTACTATTTGTTACCCCCATTGCGATTACTATTATATTACCCACTGCATATGATTCTGTTTTTGATTTTTTGTTTATTTTTCGTTTGGTTTTTTATTCATTGCCGTCCATGCATATAAATGTGCTTGTAATTATCGAGTCGGAGACCATAGCGTAAATATAATTATAGATAATGCGAGCACACGAATATATAAAGCCATAAATTGATGTGCTGCATGCCACAACACACTCTCACACTCACACACACACCACACACAACCAATTTCGAATATATATATAATAGAAAAGAAAAAAAACCCAGAACACTCTCCTCCAATGAGCACGAACAGTTGTTTTTGTTGTTGTGTGCCCGTCCCACCCACGAACATTCGCCAGTGACCGACTGGACGCCGACGTTGGGCGTGCGATTAGCAGCGAAAAGCCCGACTTATGTAATAAACCACAAAAATCCACTTTAATATCCTCCAAAAGCAGCAGCATTCCCACAAAACTAATGACAAACAAACAAAAAAGCAACAACAAACTCTCAGCTGAACTCAACTCAAATGTGATAAATTCAGTAAACAAAAGCAAAAGGACATAAAAGCCCCAAAATACATATGTATATATTTAAATTGTGATAAAACTACGCAAAGGATGAGTAATTCATAATCCAAAACCAATGAACATTTAAACGACTGAAAAGCAAACAAAATCAAATGCAACTCCATGCGACGCAGCATCAATCGAAAGCAATAGCAAAAGCAAAAGCATCTCAAATGATCGCCGTCCTGCCATCGAGCCCGAAACAAGCATCAAGTATTACGAGTAGAAACGACTCCACCTCCTCCGACAGCATCTCGAAACAGCAACAGCAACAGCACCGATCCTCGACATCGACATCGGCATCTCCTACTCCTACTCCAACTCCACTGAACTCAACTCTAACTCTACTGTTGAATGGTAAACTCTTGTCCTCCATAGCATTTTATTTGGATGTTGTGTAACTCTATCGTCATTAACAATAAACCATAGTATTGTACATGGACATAAACCCTATCTATCTCGCCATAGCACCATGCATACTCGTACTTCCAAATCGAAATCTATATGTACATTCTCGTATATTATTGTTCAAATTTGAAGGATATCCTCCGAGTCGATAGTTGTCATTGTATCATCACAGAGCGCTGTTAAGCAGATGTAATCATAACAATGGCAATCAATCAACCAATCAATCAACCAGCCGATCGTTTGAGCACTTCAATCAACTACAATCGAATACCTTTGCTGTAAACCTGCTGCTGCTGCCGCTTTCCTAGCAAAAAGATCAATCTATTTATCTCTTATCACATATGTATCTCTCCCTCTTGCTCTCTGTCTGTCTGTCTCTTACTTGCGCATCTATCTACTATATTCTATATACATCAAAAGAATACTACCTCGCATCGTACTCGTAATTGTTGTTGTTGTTGTTGTTCTTATCGTTGTCGCCTACAAAAAACAATATATGTATGTGTAACCGAAACCATCAAGAAAACAACAAAATGAACAAGCCAAATGCCACGCCACGCACCAACAGAACAGAACAGAACTAAAAAGAAATCAATCGTCATGCCACCACCAACCAACACCACCTCTAATCAAAAATCGAACTCAGCGAATCAGTCGAATCCAAAAACCACCAAACAAAAACCAATCCATAAGGAAATCTACTAAAAACCACTGCCGATGTCACCACTCTTTCCACCCGATCTCTCGCTCTCTCTCTGTCTTTCGCTCTATTTCTATATGTAAAAACCTAAAACCACCGCATCATCATGAAGAGCATTATCCCCAAAAAAAAAATAAAAGAAAAAAAAGTAAAGCAAGAAACTGCACAATGAGCCACAACACTTGAATCGTCTAACAATTAAAATTTAATAGGAATATCCATGGAGTGAGAGAGAGCGAGAGGAAGAGATAAGACCGTAATAAATGAATAGCAAGGTCACACTAAACCAGAAACCAGCGTCCCTAATCTCAAGCTCTCTCTCTCTCTCTGGCACTCTGCTTTCATCTATGCGTGTGTGTGTGTGTGTGTGCGTATGCTTGTGTGTGTGCCTGTGTGGTGTATGTTTTAGTGTGACCAAAAACTGTTCTTTGAAAGAATGCCCTAATTTATACCAATTTTCCATTTCTTTTTCTTTTCGTTTATTGAACAAGTTTTATAATTGGAAAATCGCGTAGAGTTTAATTGAAAGCAAAACAAAAAAAAAACAGAGCAACCGATGCAAAAAACATCAACGAGTGAACAAGTGCACACACAAAACCGATAAAAAGTTTAGATAAACACAAAAAAAACCAAGATAATTCATTAAAAAAAATAAAAAGAGAGAGAACAAATCAATTCCGTCATAGAGGCAAAGCGAAGACTGAACGGGAAGGGGAGAACATTTCCAGCGGCACAAAGGGTGAAAAGTGGTGATAGCCACATAATCCCCGCAATGGATAGTATTACGACCATGAAGACGGCCATGGACAGGGCCGCCGAGCAGCTGATACAGCAGTATGCGATTGAATCGATGTCGCAAGAGCAAGAGAATCAGAGGCAAGAACTCCAGAGGCAACAACAACTACAGCAGCAGCAACAACAAGAACAAGAACAAGAACATTTCATATTCCAATATCAGCTATTAACGCCCACACATATGCCGCAATTAGCTAGTAACTATCAGCCACGACATTCCACAAACACGTCGTCGTCGCCCTCATCCACACATTCGCTGGCCAGCGGTGGCGGTGGCGGTGGTAGTGGCGGAGGTAGTGGTGGCAGCACCAACTCCAACTCCAACTCCTACTCCAGCGGCAGCAGCAGCACCAGCACCAGCGGCATCAGCATCAGCAATAGCAATATCACAGCAGCATACTCATCAGCCGTTCATAGCTACCATAAGAAGCTACAAGCTAATCCCCAATACAATATTCAACACCATCAGATGGAGCTGCAACAGTCGCCGCTGAGTGAGAATGGTTCACCGAATGCGACGCCAGGTGCCAATACGCCCCCCGACACGACGGGGGCGACGTCAGTCACAGCCTTGGCGACAGCCACAGCCACAGCCCTAGCACTGGGCTCGGTATCAGCTTCAGCATCAGTTGCTGCCACAGCAGCGGCATCCACATCCCAGCAGCAAGCATTGCCACTGGGCAACTATAAGACTGCCTCCTGTTGGTGCTACGGTGAGTGTGACCTAAGAAACAAAGCAATCAACATCAACAGCATTGAAACAATCAGAAAAGTTGCGCACAACTTCCTATACTACACCCTACATACTCGTCAAAATGAACACCACTTCTCCTATCTATATATGATCGTCTATCAATCGTATATATTGTATATATATATGTACATATATAACTACTATAACTATCGAGCTACATCGCTACAACAAACCAACAAACAGCAACAGCATCAATCACCACGTCGCCTCATTCAGAAAATGCCGCCAGCAGCCAAAAAAGATCCACAAAAAACCACAAAAAAGAATAAATACAAAGAAGCGCCCCAGAAATCAAACAAATCCAACGGCGACCCCAGGAAGCTCCTAGCTATAAACGAATTATCCATTAACATTGCCAGTTGACAGTATTTCTTGTTGAGAAAATTAATCCAAAAGATCACCCAACATCCAGCACAGCACAGCACACATCCCGCAAACACAAACACAAAGTAAAACCAAACCAAAACCAAAAACCAACAAAACACTCATCGACAACTGAGCAACAGAAAACCGAAACAAATCGAAACCAGCAGCCACCGCCACAATCGACTATATAAGAAATCCCATCATATGCTAATCGTACGCTTTAATGTGGGCGTCCATCTAAAAATTAGCTTTCCACTTTTATGTAGGTACACATGTGCTTTCCGTGGGTCTGCGGGGGGCCCTAGTGATTCATGGGTGTTGCATAAATATTACGGCATGACATATGTATATTCCGCTCGTATTTTAGGAGAGACACGAAATAGGTTACGGAAGGGAAGGGAAAGGAGAAAGAAGGAGGTTGCAAAGCCACTGCAGGGATTTTAAAGAGTGTTAAATATCCATTGATTACGGCTTTGCCTGCATTTCTTGACATCTGTTTTCCTATCGATGGTAAACATCCTATTCTGCTTAGCGTGGACATGCCCTTAAGTGGACATAAGCCCGGCTCCCTCCCGCGGCTGTGGCCTAATGAATGCCGTGTAGTCCGGGCATTTGTTCGCGTGTCACATTTGGCCACATTACACATACGTCGCGTGGTACGCGACAACCACTTGGCTGCAACGAACTCTGCTTCAGCGATTTGCGTGCTGCAGATTGCTGCACGGAGGTGTTTCTATTTTTCATTGCATTCGTTTTGGTTTTCCCGGGGGAAAAAGGAGAGGGGATAAGGACCAGAGAGACGGCGAGTGTGCCAGCTTGTCGTTAGCCTAGTTTTCCGAGTTTTCCACAACCAATCCTGCACACAATGCATATGAAATTAGTCTCCAGTCTGCCTGCCACCCGGCGATCCCGGCCACCCGGCCACCCTGCCTGTGCAACACCCACTTGTATGCCGCAAGCAGTGCAGCCCTCTGGGCGGTCTGGCCAACGTGCTGCAAGTGTTATTTATGGCAGTCACATAATTTAAGCTGCAGCTCAGTGTCAACAGCCAGAGGCAGAGGCAGAGGCAGAGCCACAGCAGCCTCGCTGCGTGCCCCTTGGCGGTAGGTAGGTCCTGGGTGGCCCATAAAAACCCCTAAGTAAATGGGCAACTTTGCGGGCTCTGCCCCTGCAATATTTACTGTGCAGATTGCAGCCAAATTTTATTTATTTCTCCTTTGTTTTTGCGGTTATCCACATTTGATAGATATCTGACAGATGCATCCGGCAAAAAGGCAAACAGGCCAACCAGGCCAACCATTGCCGGTTGAAGCTATTTCAATTATTTTAAAGCATTTTGAAACTGGCCAAACTGTGGGCGTGGTGTTAAATATGTGGGCTGTGGCTTGCAGCTCTTCTGCTCTGCCTCTCCGCTCATTTCGCTTTTGTTTTCGCCTTGCAAATTCCTTTGCAAATCGCATTTTCACACATGCTTGCAAACGGTCCCCGATACACCCTTTCCCCCCCTCCCCAGCCCCCACTGCAATGTCATCGCTTGTGCGCGGCGACACCATGTGTGTTGCATCTAATTAGAGAAATACTTTTGAAGGACACTTTGCCCCTGTCCACTCTGTGCTCTGCCTCTGAGTGGCAATAAGACCAAGACGACGAGGACGCCGACGACTGGCACACATTTCAGCATATCTATGCGGTGGGATCTGGGATCTGGGGGGTGGGATGGAAGGGCGAGCGAAAGAGAAGCTAAATTTAAACAAAACGAGTGCCAAGTGGCAAGTGGCAGCGACAGCGGTGGCGCGTCGGTGGCACAGTCTTGGATTGCCTGCCTCAAGTCGAGTCGAGTCAAGTCGAGTAAGGCGGACAGACGGCTGTGGCAGCGCCAGTCAGGTGCAACGCGCTTAGATCTGTGACGCTGCCACGCTGCCGCATGGTCGTTTGTGCAATAGAGCGTCTCCGCTTGACACATTTTATTTATTAATTGAAATTTGTTTGTTTGTTTACTGGCGCGGCCCTGGCAGGCGACTTCAGTCTGTGTGTTATTGGCTCTCTACAGTGGCCACTGGCTGGTGGAATAAACCTTGAGTGACGAGATGTTCTTCTAGGCTATGGCTGGGGTATCCACTGTGCGACATATGCCTCATATATCATCTTGTTGTGGCGTCTACAATGCCCTTCCTGGCTTTGACAATGGGGCGGGGCATATGTTTTCATTTTCTCCCATCAATGATCTTGTCATTGAGTCTAGGACTTTGAGCATTTGGGTCTGTTCTACTCTGTGTTTCTTCTTCTGGGAAGGGTATCCACTGTAACCCCCCATCTGACATATTCGCTCATTCCTTCCACTGCCTTACATCATCCAATTGTTATTGTTATTGCTATTGTTACGTAGTAAATGTGTATTTGTAAGCAAGCAGCATATTCCGCTAAATATAAACCTCTATTCTCGTTCTTCTCTTTGCCATTTCAGGTGAGTCAGTTTGTTCTGGAATTGAGGTTGAAATTGAAAATAATAACAATAATCATATTCATCATGGTAAGCTTTCTCACACTTTCATTAAATACCATTAAAGCCATCTTTGTCTAGCCAAATGATCAACTAATTAAAGCGATTAATTCTAAACCACTAAAGAGCGTAGAATCAATGCTATCTGTACCGTTTTGTTGTATCTCTGTATCTCTGTTTATCTGCTTTGAGCTTGACTTTCAAAACGACTGAGGAAAAACGAAAACCGACTTTGACCCAACGAACATTAACCTCCGAACCCCTGACCAACTTTTTAGCCAGCACAAAATTGTGGTTGTAAGAGGTTTCTTTTTTTTTTGGGGCTAGTACCAGTACCATTGCCATTACGATTACGATTGCCACTCGGATGACCTGCGTCCGTCCCGTCCGATCCGATCCGATCCGGTCCGGTCCGGTCTAGTGGAGGAAGTAAGCGTTTCACTCATGTGTTTCGTGTTCATGTGTGTCGCCAGCGCATTCTGTCCGTTGCATCTCATCACGAGCGTCTCATGGCCTGCCACAAACCACAAATCGTACCACAACAGCCACCCAAACAGACCCCACAGTCGAACCACACCGCCTGCACCACCATAACCAAAACCCGCCCATAGCCATAGCCATAGCCACACAGCAAATAACAAAAAAAAAGAAAACCAAAGAAAAAATTCAACTAAAAACTAAACCAAAATTTAATTTCAATAACCAATAACCAAACAAACAAAAGAAAAGCTAAAACTAAAACAAAAACTAACCAAAAACCGAAATGGAAGAACGAATCGCCGTCGTATCGTTGCGAGCGCCCCGCCGAACGAACAAACGATCGTCGGTGAAAGAGAGCTGTTATTATTTGTTTATAATTTGTAGCTAAAAGAACATAGAAGAAACTAACCCAAACAGCAACAGCAAAAGCAACAGCAAAGAGCAACAGCCAGAGCCGCCCCAGCCCCTCAAGAGCCCTGTGCCCTAACCCGACTAACCAGAACCAGAACCCGAGCCCCTAATCTATAACCCCCCTTCTACCTCCCCCAACAACCATTGGTCGCTCTGTGAACCCCGTTTCGATTCTTTGATTGCAGGCGAGACAACGTATCACATGAAAATACTGGTGCCCGCGGTGGCCTCTGGGGCCATCATCGGCAAAGGAGGCGAGACGATCGCCTCCCTGCAGAAGGACACGGGTGCTAGAGTAAAGATGTCCAAGTCGCATGACTTCTATCCAGGTGAGTCCCGTCTCTCCATGCTACCCCCCAATGAACCTCAACTGAATCGATCGTATCTTTGGCTTTTTAGGCACCACTGAACGCGTCTGCCTGATCACTGGATCCACGGAGGCCATCATGGTCGTGCTGGACTTTATCATGGACAAAATCCGCGAGAAGCCCGACCTGACCACAAAGATCATCGATGCCGAGTCGAAACAGACCCAGGAGCGGGACAAGCAGGTCAAGATCCTGGTGCCCAACTCCACAGCCGGCATGATCATCGGCAAGGGCGGTGCCTTCATCAAACAGATCAAGGAGGACAGCGGCTCCTACGTTCAGATCTCGCAGAAGCCCAAGGATGTCTCGCTGCAGGAGCGCTGCATCACCATCATCGGCGACAAGGAGAACAACAAGAACGCCTGCAAGATGATCCTCTCGAAGATCGTCGAGGACCCGCAGTCGGGCACCTGCCTGAATGTCTCCTACGCGGACGTCAGCGGGCCGGTGGCCAACTTCAATCCGACTGGCTCCCCGTACGCCACCAATCAGAATGCCATCAACTCGAGCACCGCATCGCTCAACTCGACGCTGGGCACCTCCATCGGTGGCGCCAACTCGGCGGCCAGTCTGCTAGTCAACGGCACCGGCATCAACTTGTCCATCAACCTGGGCGCCCCCAATCCGGCGCCCAACCTGGCGGTTGCCAACCAACTGCTCGAGCATATTAAGGTTCGGTCCCATCCGCTGGTGATTACTGATGATCAGTGGCGTTCCCAGCTCTGGCAGATGACTAACCAACGAATTTCTCGGGCTTCCCCCTTGCAGGTTGCCATGCGCGGCTCTGGCTACTCGGAGACCGTCACCACTGAAGTCTGCAACGCCCTGGGCGTCCTGGCCAAGTACGGAGTCCTCGGCATGGGCGTGGGCGTGCCCCACACCAACGGTGCTCACTCGACGCTGGGCAATTTCCTGGGCGTGACGACGCTGGACCAGCAGACGGCGGCCGCCAATGCGGCCAACGCCAGCAATGTGTTTGGCGCTGTCGGCCAGGTGAATCTGGAGCAGTATGCCGCTGCAGCAGCGGCTGCCGCAGCCGCCAGCCGGCCGACACAGTCGCAGCTGGACGCCGCCGCGGTCCAATTCGATCCATTCCGCCATCTGGGCTCCGCCACGGCGCCGGCCACGCCCGTCTCGCTGAACAACAACAGTTTCGGGCTGACAGCCGCCACGGGAGCGGCGAACAGCGCCCAGCTGGGCGGCCTCAGCAAGAGCCCCACACCCGGCGACCTGAGTTCCAAGGACTCGAAGAACGTGGAGGTGCCCGAGATGATCATCGGCGCAATTCTAGGTGGGCGCCATTACTATTACCCCTACTAAATGCAAAACGCAAAAACAACCTACCAGAAACTACAGCAACAACGCCGCAACTCTATTTACCGAACCCCGAGCTCCTCCTGCCCCACCCACCCGATCCCTAGCACACGCCAGAAGCCAAAAGAAGGAAAAGCCGAAAGAGTTAACCCGCCCCGCCCCGCACCGCCACACCCCGCCCCCCACATCGCACTCGTAACCCATACTCTGCGCTTTAGCCATAGATCAGATCCATTAGACATAGCCGTCATTCCAGTAGACTCATCGTAGGGCAGACTCTCAGGAGATCTGCTGCATTCGAAGCATTCCGTTCAACATTCTGTATATGATATTCCCAATAAATGCATCCAACTTATAGCGAAATTTCTAGTCAAGTTCTTGCCTCACACACAACCCGCACGATCCATGAGCCCACGGTCCACTCCCATTCCGATCAACTGAAAGTTCGCACAAGTTTCACGCACAGACATTCCCAGTATCTGAAAGGCAGCAGCAGTTAGCAGTAGGCATTAGCTTTAGACCCCCACCACCCCCCATTACCACCCCCCCAAACGTTAGGTTGTAGGTTTCTCCCTCACATTTTTTTTATGTTTAACGAATTTTTTCTTACATATACATACGACAGATACGAAGATGTATATGTATATGTGTATGAATACTTATGCCCCCAGTCGGCTAGTGCAATTCTTGGATAATTATGTTTGTTGGATGCTGTTATTTTTACCTCAGTGTCATTTTTAAGGTCGTTAGGTCATTAGTTAGTAGGGTCACGGCATTCTGACCAAACCACCCAACCCTGCCCCCAAAAACAACCATTCCAGAGCTTATTCTTGTGTGTGATACCTTTTGGTGTCGTAAGTTTCGATCCACAAAACACTTAACTGCTATAAAACACACACAGCTGAACACCTGAACACCTGCACACCTTTCCATATACAATATACAACATATATCTATATATATATATAACTCGTAATCGTATATAAACCACACATATTGTCATATTACTATTCTTAAAATATATTTAACATAAATCTGATGCAAATATTCCAGGTCCGAACGGTCGTAGTTTAGTTGAGATTCAACATGTTTCTGGCGCAAATGTGCAAATTTCCAAAAAGGGCATATTCGCACCTGGCACTAGAAATCGCATTGTAACCATTACTGGTCAGCCGAACGCCATTGCCAAAGCGCAGTTTCTAATTGAGCAGAAAATCACCGAGGAGGAGACAAAGAGGGCGCGACAAATTCCATTAACCACTGTTGTGAATTAATAACCAAGTAAACCAATCAATCAATCCCCCAAAACCAATCAAACAACCAACAAGCAACACACAACATACAAAACACCACAGCAAAACAACAACAACAACAGCACCACAGCATACACCCTTCCCTACCCTGCCCTACCCTACCCTACCTATAGGCTATAGCAAGTTTTTCCCTCTAAACAAAAAATTGTTCATTTTCTGTAAGAAGCAACACCAAAAATGAGAAAAAAAGCAAACAAAAAAACGAAATAACTAAAGAAATATTAACTTTAAACAAACGAAAAACAAAAACAACAACAGAAACAACAAGAGAAATAAGAGAAAGGAAACTACAGCAATAGAAAAAAACAAAACACCAATTGTTATGCGAAGTGCAAAGAAAAGTTAAACACTTAATAAATGTTAATTATGTATTGCATATACCTCTCCCTTTCCCTCCCATTCACCATTTTGGGTACCTCGAAACCCCCAAGGAGAAATGCTTTAAGCCGTAGAGAAAGGAAGAGAGGAAACTTGTATAATAATATGGACTATACTATGCCTCTACTGTAGAAGATGATTGTTGCATTTGTTGTATCGAAATCAAAGTTAAAGCCCAGATATTGTAATGCCAGAGATCGGGTATACATAAATAGTTAGGAAGAAGGCAAAACTGTTTGGGTCTTTTGTTTTGTTTGTTTGTGATGCGTATGTGTTTGCGTTGCGTGTTCTGTTTTTTTGGTTTTTCGGCCCCGACAAAAGCTATATACGACCCCCACACACACACACACACACACACACAACATATATATGGGGCATATATACATATGTATATGTTATGTACACACGTTGTTGAGTCTTGTTTATATATTATCCACACACACCTATGCCCATACATATATATATCTACATATGCCACCACCACACACACACACACACTTACACGATACACTAAAAAATATTAGCATTACGTTGAACTAAAACGAGCTGTGGAAAGGCCACCAAAAAGGCCACTTCCTTTCCGTGTACTGAGCGAGCGTTTTCAGTGAAAACTTCAGGTGATTCTTAACCTCGAAATAAGGTAAATATTTTACAAGAAAAAACTACGAGTACTACTACTGCTGACAGGCTAGTGAAAAGTGTTGTTTCCCCCCCCCCCACCCAAAAACCCAAAACCCTTAAAAAATAAATACTACTGACATATTACGTTCTTTCGTTACCGTTTTCTGTTTCCTGTTTTATCTGTTTTCTGTTCTCTGTTGTTGACCCCTCTATTCCCCCCCTATTGCTTACATATATATATATATATATACACACGATTCCACAGCTTTAAAAACAGAATATATATATATAGTTTAGTTGACGTTGATCATGATAATGTTGTTAAGTTTTAGAGACAGACTATCTGTTCTATCCCCCATACAATCGAAGTGGTGTTAATGTGTTGCGCGCGCACGTGAGTCTCCCTTTGGTTGTGATTTGTGCTCCCGATTTGTTACTCCTTATCCAATCATTGTTTGATATATATTTATATATATTTAATTTATACCTATGCGATTTGTTAGCTGCCAGTTTGAGAACTGCACCTCTTGATTTCCTTTATTTTTCTTTTGTTAACTTCGTATTCCTTTTTCCTTTTTACGTTTTTTTTTGGTAAATTTAGCACATTTGTTTCTTACATTCTTAATCTTAAGTCGTACATTTTCTTCACATCACACTCTTTTGATTGAGACCCTTAATTAAAAGAACAAACAAAACAAAAAGAAAACGACATTTCTCTGTAAAATATTCTCATATGAAAGCATTCATTTAGGGTTTTCTTCATGCCACAAATATCAGACAAGCCACCAAACGATTTCCCTCTCTTAATTTTAAGTATTGTGCAATTATTAAACATAATTTCGACAAAACATTTCACAAACCCCACAAATTTTATGTACATATCTAGAATGCAGTGTAAAGACAACAAAAAAACAATTTAACATCACATTGAAACACAAAAAAAAATCAAACAAATTTTCCGCCTTATCATACATACACACACACACACAAAGACAAGGAAAAGTCCCCATACCCCATCCATACAGAGAGAGAAATGCCTTACTTGTAATGAAATTTTTCTTATTTTACTTTATTCCTTACACATAATTAAGTTTAACCTTTCTTTTTGATTAATAAACAAAGACAATGATGAAACGAAATTTCAATAAAATCTGAGAAAAACATGCAACGTTTTATGTGTTTAATTTAATTTGTAAAAAGCGCACCAGGTGCAACACCAAGCCACCACCACCACCACCCCCTCAGCTCACCCACTAACCCAAACAGCCACAAAACGTATCCTAAAACCAGTCTACAACATTATCATGACCAATCAGCAATCAATCAACCAACCCAACAACCAACCAACCAACCAACCAGTCAATCAGTCAGTCAGTCAACCCAACCAAACCACTCTCTTTGATACGCTCTCAGTATCAGAATCAATATCAATATTTCAATATCAATTTCAATCACTGAAAACGCTCATCAATGTAGGGAAACGAAGGGACATTCAGATGGAAAAAAAAACAGCAACAGCAAAAACAGCAACCAATCGTAAGCTAAGTCTATGTTTAAGTTGAAAAGTTGTTCTTATTAATTTGTTTTGCTATTATTGTTAAAACTTACATACCTACAATTGTTCTTATTTGTGCAATATTTATATAATACGATTAAAGTATGAAATCAAACGGAAAACTAGAGGAGATAATTGTGACAAAACAAAAGAAATCTTGTCTTAAAGAATAACTATTACCTAACTACATAAACGAGGGGAAAAACGAAACAAAAAAACAAAAAAAATGAAAGTAAATTTGAAAGTACAGTCGTAAATGCTAGTGTGCCTTGAAATATGCATTAACATCCAAAACAAAAACCAAAAGAAACAAATATCGGAAGGGAATAAAGATGATGTTGGTGTTTTAATTGAAACTATTATTTTATGGAAGACATAAAGAAAAAAAAAAAAAAACAGCAGAACGTCGAGAGAAATGATAAGCAATAGATCGTCTAAAAGTAGGAATTATCCAGGCAAAACAGCATCACCACCAGCAGCAGCAGCAGCAGAAATCCACTAAAACAAGAATCACAACAAGCATAATACACAGATCCCCTTTCGTCCACCCCCCACCCCCCACAAAAAAATCCAAAAACCAATCAACAACCTACAAAATTCAAAGACAAAACGATTTTTACTTTTCGATTTCGTCCTTTTTTTTGGGTCACATGTCAAATTCAGCAACGGGAGAGCAACGAACAATCTATCAGAGCCACCCAGAGAATCCAAGCACCACAAGAACGCCAACTAACTCAGATACATACCCCCCAACCCCCCCACACACACACACCAACACGCAGATACACACATGCATACATGTCCCCCCCCCATACATACACACATTCGTACTAAATATCAGTATCACATGCGCGCGTGCTCACTGAGTTATGTTTAATGTATGAGTTTTATATGATATATATATGAACTTATAGTAGAAGAAAGGAAGAAGGGAGAATAACCACAAATATATATACATATATTTGTACTGGATCTGTGATATGTATTTAAAGAAAAACAAAAACAAAACAAAGCAAAAAGAAAGCAAAAATATATTTATTAAACGAAGAAGAAGTCAAATGAAACTTGAAATTAATTATGAAATAATTAATTTTTTTAATGAGACAACTAAGAGAAAAGAAAAGCTTTACTTGAAAAGCAAACAAATTCCCCGAAAATCAAGTTCTCAATTCAATTCATCAACAAAAATGTGCAAGGACACAGCTCCAAGTCGGAGGCCCCGACCACACCCACAGGCACAGCTACAGCCCCAGCACACCCCCCCAAATCCAACTCCATTTCTCAGCAAATGTCCGATATATGTCCATGTACTCCCCCTATGTTATCCCCTTTATTGTGGGTTGTGTGTGGGCTGAGGGCTGGGGGCGTGACGAAAGAGAGGACAGAAATAAGAGGGGACAAAGGGATCTGTTCGGGGAACAGGTCAGAGGATCTGTTCAGGATACCTGAGTGTCCTGCGCTTTCGACGTGTTTATGCTTGTTTGGATTTTTATTGTTTGAACGCGTTTGTTATTTGCTGTACAAATTGAAGCTTCACGCATCCCGCGCCATCGGAGTTCAGGTCGGAGAACGGACTGTGGGGAAGATCGATCCATCCAAAGGGATGATATTGGATGATTGCATGATTGCTTTGTGCTCACCCTTCAATTGTTAATGCCAAGCACCTCCCACTCCTCCCCCCAGCCACTTATCAGACACATTCTGTCATCCAACCCAATCACCAAACTATCGCCACTTCAACTCCAATTTCCACTGCAATCATTAGAAGAAAAAAAAGAAAGAGAAACTTTGGATAGACGTGTGCATTAATGTTTGTTTTTGTTCACCGATTCAGAAGGAGAGTTTTTTATTAAAGGCATGATAATTAATAACAATAAGAGGAAAAGAATAGAAATATGGAAGGATAGGACGGATAGGACGGATAGGATAGGAAGAAGGAGAGTAGGGAAAAGTAAAAGTAAAAGTAAAACAGCTGTTATTTCAACGACGGAGTCTATTAGTGTTAAAGTAGTACCACATAAAATGCAACTTTTATTAACTATATACATATATACATATACATACAGTACATGAATATTTAAAGTAATTCAAATTTGAGTAAAACAAAAAATAAAAAACAAAAACAATAATGAAAAATCAGTAATTTGCTAAAGATACAAAAATATGTAAAGAGGAGTTCAATTTATCAATCAAATCTCGTATAGTGCATACATACATATATATATGGAATCATTAATACATACATAAAGAACTTAAACGAAGAAAAGAAATGAAAACAAAAGAAAGAACAGAAAAGAAAAGAAAAGAATCGTTAAATATAATTTGTTATGCTTTGCCACCCCACACTGTTATTAGAACAATTAAACATTAACGAATGCATATGTGCATTACATATACATACATATTATATATATACATATATATATATAAATACACACCTATATATAGACATACACACATACAATATGCAAGCCCAAGAGATGTTTCGAGGGTACGAGGCGAGTACTAACTGATTCATTATATAACCTCAGTATAGCCCATGTATTGTATAAAGCTATTCGACGGAAGACAGCTACGGAGCATTCGACAGCCACAACAGAAAGTGAAAGAACCGAGCAGAACACAATTCAACATTAGTGAAATATAATAATAAATATATATATATTTAATATACATATATATATAAATACATACATACACTAAAAGTATAAAAAGTAGTCGTTAGTGTGATACATAAATTAATATTAAACAATTCAAGCAAATAAAAGCGGTTTAACGATTGAAACTAAACAACCCACTGGGAATGATCTGTTGGGCCGCACTTTGCCAACATCTCAAAGTGCTCCAGCTCCTCCTCATAGATACATACGATATATGTATAGCAGCCCTACCTATCGTTTCTTTGTGTTTCCTTAGCAAATGGGTCTGCGGGCCAGAAATGGCAGGGCGGCAGCCCCGAAGAAGGGTTGAAAAATTTACATTTTAGCTATAAGGATTGCTTCGGATATTGCTGTGCAATATCTGATACGCTGGCAAAGTGTATCCGTAGATTAGATACAAGGAAGGAACCTAGGATATACACACCTAGGAGTACATACACACATAAGTCATAACTCATGCAAGTGCATCACAGTCATAGCGAAGAGATATATGTATACCCTCTGAGAGTCACCACACCATTCGAAATGCAATATACACGTATATTCAATGTACAAAATAGTTAACTGAAAATTAAAATTTGGATCGAAACAAAACAAAACAAAGCAAACATATGCCAATGTTTGTGGGTATTTTCGAAATTTCTTCTCATATTGTACAAGTAGTAGATATGTACTTTGTCGAATCCAATCCAATCCAATCCAATCCAAAAAGTAGCATACGTGAGTACCTTAGCCAATGAGAACAAATGTTAAATAAAAAAACGAAACGGCCTTCACGATTTGTTGCAGCAGCTCGCTCCCCGAAAGTCCAATATTTCGCTCAATGTAGAATTTCCGATTCCGATTCTGTTAATATTTTATACAAACGACTAGATATAACCGTATAGCCAGCTGGGAGGGCGTAAGGAGGTTAATTCGATATCATTACTTTGCAAAAACAACTTCTTAACGTTTTCTTAGGAGAATAGTACATGATAGAGGAAATACTAGCACCCCTCGTCACACAATGTCAAATTGTCCGTTGCACTCTCTATAGGAATTACGAACAGCAGCAACAGCAATACACAGCAGTTTCGATCTCTCAATAGTTATGTAGAAGACACAATGAAGAAATTGGCGTGGATCGGTGGTCATTCGGAGGCGCGAAACATTTAGCAGAAAAACCAACATCATGGAAACTCATTCAAAAGTAAAAGTACTAAATCTTTTATGATTTGACTGTGATAATAATAATGACAAAACGAGAAAGGTAGAACGGAGGTGGAGAACAAATTAAACAAATATAACATAGAGTATAGTATATATAAATGTATATACAATACCCCCACGTATATAGGCGAAGCTAATGTAATATTAACGTAGGTGCGATACAAATTGAAGGCTCAGGCGCAGGCTCCCCCAAAATAGGCAAATCGAATTCGATCAGATGGTGGACGAAACCGAATGAGAATGAGAATGAGCATGAGAATGAGAACGAGAGAACATGCAATGTATTTGCGGAGAGAGAGACGTGTTTTACTTATACATATTAGCAAAATATTTAAATAAAATTTTAGCAAAACCAAACCAAACCAAACCAAGCCCCAATAAACTCAAAAGAAAAACGAAAAAATAATGAATAGAAACCCAAAATGGAAAATGGAAATGACGGATCAGGTAAAATCCTAATTAAATTAAAGAAAGAAAATACAAAAGTATAAAATGAAATCAACGATATTTAGTTATGCTCTATTTACAATTTATAATCAATTGAAGTTTTTTAACGATCAAGTAGTAAAGCAAGGATTTTATAAATTTATTCGTTTAGCATTCGAAAAGCAAATCAAATGGATCACACATAACCACGAAATAGTGTAGGACTTCTTTATTTCTCAATATCATTTAACTTGACAAAAAACGAGATATAGATTTGAAAAAATGCAAAAGCAAAAGCATATGCGAGACACATGGCGCAAAGAAATAAAACATAGTATAGTGAAATCTTTAAACAATTAAGTCAAAAGGTATCCCAAACAAAAGAAGATTCTTTAAATGTAGCTCATTCAAATTTTAACAAAACGAAAAACATAATTTTTGCAACTAAACAAAACGTAAGAAAAAAACTTGTACAATTGCGAATAAAAAACGTATGCAAAACAGTTACTCCTCTCTACATACATATATATATACATAGCTATATAACCCCCAAAAAAGGATCATACTCGATAAACAAAAATCCAAAAACCGAAAACCGAATAAAACATAAAAGATAGTGAAAGAATAAGGATAATGAAGATTGCAAGAGAACTCTTTACGGTCTTGGCCAGCAATAAAACGGAAAGCTAAGCTCTAGGTAGGCTGATGATCGATCATCGGTACCGATAATAGATACCGATACCGATACAGTGCAGTACAGTACAGTACATGTATATCGAATGTAATGGTATGGTAATGTTATGGCATGCGTTTGGCGCATCTGTATGTAATAGTATTTATAGTAAAAATTTGTTGAATACATATATACACACGCAGAAACATACTAAAACACACACACACAGACACCCAACCAACCAGAAACGCCAATAAGTGCATACGACACACACACACACATAGAAACATTATAAAGATCCGCATCCGCATCCAGGATGAAAGAATAGAAATTGCAAAAGCTAGGACGGTACATAAATGAATTACAACATGGAATACACATTACACATTTAAGAACGATTATATGAAAATGACGAAACTAATAAAAATTATATTATAAATTAAACTGAAGTTTCTCTTTCTTCTTTTTGTTTATTTAAATATTGAATATAAATGCGATTAGAATGTTGATATTCTTATTAGTCTTTTCCTATTTGCCAGCAAATTTCGGTGGACAGTCGGGCTGTTGATGAGGATGGCTGCTTTTGAAGGCTGGCAGGCTCTGTAGCTCATGATCCAGGCGAACGATGTTCGGGTATGGGCTCAGGTCCACTTTGTACCTGCAAGAGAGAATACAATGGAAGTACTTAACTGAACAATTAACCGATTTGGGTGATTCCTCACATTCGGGCATTAAAGACCTGCGGCACGAGGCATACATCCGCCATGGATAGTTCATCGCCCACACAATACTTGCCAGCGGATCCGGCGAGCACTCGATCGAGACCCTGAAATCCGCGAGCTATCCAATGCTGTGCCCACACGAGGCTTTTCTCCTTGCCCACATGCTCCAGGACCAAGCGATTCTGCAGTGGCTGAATGGCCGAGCAAATGAGCTCTACGATCTCACGGACCTTGGCGCGTTTCATGACATCCTGTGGCAGCAATGGGATCTTAGGCCGCGTCTCCTCCAGGTAGTGCATAATGGCCACCGAGTCGCATAAAGAGTGTCCATCTGTAGACATTTCAACATTAGTCCGGCCATCCCCACTACAATCATAAAGCCAATACTCACCGATTTGAAGCGATGGAACTGTCTGCATGGGATTCACTTCACGATACTTGTCGGTATAGGCATGATGTTCGCCGACCTGGAGTAAACTGGTTGCTTGGACATCATAGGGGATCTGTTTGAGGGTCAACGCAATGCGAACACGCCAGGAGCACGAGCTTAACCAAGTGGCGTAGAGTATGGGTCGGGGTTCGTCCGCAACGGTTGCCTCCATCTTGGGCACAGAGCTGGAAGCCATACTAGCACTAAGCGGTGGCCTAAAGAACTGAACACGTTGCAAACCCTTGGGGGCCAATAATCTCAGCGCTGTCATTGCAACTGTATTGTATATTATCTGCTTGTAGAGCTGATATAATTGATCTCTTATCTCTTGTTTACTTTTTTTATATTTTATGAGCTTTCAGGTAATTACGGATATCGATAGATCGATTGAAGGTTTCGTTGGTATTTTTCTGTAAGCCAATTTCATCGTCAGGTATTTACGTGTAGACTTACGTGTAATTACCTGTGTATTATTTAAATAAATCTATTTATAAATTAAGAGCGAGAGAAACTTTGACCATTTACTACTTTTTCACCTTTGCGTATCGCATTTTACTTGATCTTGTGATGCCCTATAATGCCAGTGATCCAACCACAGCAGTTTTTGGGAGGCCACAACATAATCAGAAACTTATAGCTGTAGCTTAGTTTAGTTTGAAGTTTATTTATTAATAGTATATGGAACTGTTACAATATTTCGGAAATTATGAATATTAGTTTGTTGGTTTTGTTCGATTTCAATTTGGTTTGCTTTTGGTTTGGTATGCGAAAATGCGCAGCTCTTTTCATATAAGTTTTTATATATATTTTGTATGTATGTATATTTGTATGATGTGACTAATGTCCTTCGTCCTTCGGCTCGTGCATTGTACCGTCATGCAGCAGTACTTGGCATTGGCAGGCTTACAGCTACTCGTACACGGGTTTATGAACAGATTCTCACCCTATAGCTTACATCGACTTTCTATTAAAAATACTGTGCACCTAATTTGTTGGCTTTGTCATTCGTCTATGTGCATTGAGTGGAGTTGAGAGAAATACTTTAGTTAGTTAGTTATGCATTTGCGGAACCACTTGGAGCCATAAAATAGTTGACCCAACACTGACCGATCGATGGATCGATCGATGGATTCTCGTATATTACTTATGAGTTATTCGATTTAACATATAGTTTTGTCTGTTGGTATAGTTTACTTAATTCTTGACTGAAGTTTTGTACTTTGTGAACGTTTTGTCTAGCGTATGCCCAACTTTGACATGAAGTACTTATACGTATATGTATATGTATATATATCTTTGTATCCTCGATAGTATTCATATTTTTTGTTTTGGTTTTTCGTTTTAGATCCCTGAATTGAATTTTGCTTTTCGTCATGAGTGTTCCTTGAATTTGTTAAGTTTTTGTTAGCCTAAATAAAATGCATAAAAATAAGTTACATTTAATATGTATATGAGTTCATCTTTTAGATCATGTTCACATTGACAAACTAAGGGAAATTATGGAATTTATTACTCTTTCGTTCTTTTTTTGTTTTTCTTGTTTTTGCTTCGTTCTTTCTTGAGAATTTTTTGGAATTTTGAAGTTTTTGAATTTCGTGCTGGAATTTCGTTATGTTATCGATAGTATTTTTATGCATTTATGCATATTTCAAATGCTGTTAGCAAATTTTTAAATCACATCCGACTGTTTATGCTTAATGGAATCCTCGCCAGCTCCTCGGCACCAACTCCGTCGTCCGTCCTCCGTTCCTGTCCACGTTCCCGTCCATGTTCCTGCTCACTTATCAGATTTCTGTGTGTGGAGTTTGTCTTGTGTGTTTGTTTGTTTCGGTCACGAACTGCAATTCACTTTTTCGTTTTACGGCGCTTTGCAGTTGTCGTCGGAAAATTCTATTTATTGGGCAGCTCCGGCGGACAGTCCGGTTGATTCGAGGGGTGGGCTGCCCGGAAGGCCGGATTGCTCTCCAGCTCACGATCGATGCGCAGAATAATGGGATACGGACGCAAATCCACATGGAATCTAGGTACAAACGGGTTAGGCATCTCCTCTCTGTAAATCTGTCAGTGGATAGTCTCACCTTCTGGCGTTGAACACCTGCGGTACGAGGCAGCAGTCAGCCATCGAGATCTCATCCCCCACACAGTACTTCCCGGCGGAGGTGGAGAGGGCCTTCTCCACCGCCCTGAAACCACGTGTTATCCAGTGCTGGGCCCACTCCTTCTTCTTCTCCTCGCCCACGTGTATCAGAACAATCAGGTTCTGCAGCGGCTGGATGCCCGAGCAGATGATCTCCACGATTTCGCGCACCTTGGCCCGCTTGTGGACGTCCTGTGGCAGTAGGGGTCGCTGGGGACGCGTCTCCTCGAGGTAGTGCATAATGGCCACCGATTCGATGAGGGTGTGTCCATCTAGGGGGTGTGTTGTACACGGAAGTAGTATAAATTGGCACGACTTAAGAGCACTCACCGATCTGTAGGGCCGGAACCTGCTCCATGGGATTGACCTCGCGATACTCGTTGCAGTGCTGCTCTCCACCGGACTTGATCAGGCTGATCGGCTTGATGTCGTAGGGTATCTCCTTGAGATTCATCGCAATGCGCACGCGCCAGGAGCACGAGCTGCGCCAATACGAGTAGAGTATTGGCTGTGCGTCGGAGGAGGAAACATTGGTAGCATTAGTAGACATTTTGTCACAAAAACCTTCTTTTCGCTTGCTGTGCCGGACGCCGACTGTCCGGCCCAGCCCCACAAATTCTATTACGAAATCTACATAAATTCTAATTTAAACACAGAGAGCGAGCCCAGGGCAGAAAAGAACAGAACAGGTTGCCACTGATAACGTGTTGGGGGCACAAACAGCACAAACAGCACAAACGGCACAACTATTTTCAATAATATCCATCTAGTCAAACTGGTTTAATCATTTGCATTAAATGCCACTCGGCGCTATTTATGCCTTTGTTTACTCATTGATTAGGCTGCGGAGTTAAATCGGAACGAGATCTACTCTACTTTCAATTAAACACACTTATCGATTTGTAAGCACAGTTTAACACATTTTTTCTTTTTTTCGCATAGGTATACCCACATGATTCATCGTATTGTAAGCGGCGAAATGCTGCAGACAGGAGCAACGCTAGAGACAGACTGATGTGATGGGGCAACAAAAGCACAGTACAGCACAGAGCACACAGCACACAGCCAGAGCACGGAGCGGCGCGGCACGGCACGGCACAGCACAGAGTCAAGTTCGTCTTGCACCAAAAATAGCACCCGACAACAGCTGCAGAGCAACAGTGAACTCCGAATGACGAACACGCTGTGCTGCGAACGGAACAGAACAGTGAAAAGCGGCAATGGCCGCGGACGAGGACGAGCCCTAAAATGATATACATACAGCGCGGCCGCCGGATGGCTGCTGCTGGCCAATCAACCCAACAGGGCCTATCGACGACGGCCTACCCTACGCCCACCCACCCACTCACACACATGAATAATGGGTGTGTGTATGTGTGCACGGAAAGCATAATAAGTTCCCTAAAAGTTCAATGAACCCATGAGAAAGTAAAGCCGAAAGCGTCGGACAGCAGCAGCAGTCAAATCGCGAGAGACAGCCAGCAGAAGTGGCAGTAGCCACAGAGTAGGCCGGGCCCGAACCGAGGCCGGCACCGCCGAGTCCCGAAGTATGTCGCACCCCAAGGTCGGATAGGGGCATTAACCTTAATCAAGTTGACGTTGTCCTGGTCCTTGTCCTCGTCCTCGTCGAACGTTACGATGCGAACCGAAGCGAGGCGAGGCGAGGCGAAAGCCAGCCGCGGCAGAAACGCGCCAAGGACACCAAGGGGAGCAAGAGGAAGCACAAGCAGCAGCAGTACAAGCACGAGAGGATATTTGGCTCAGAAGTTTCGTTGAGCAGCTTTGTCGGTCTGCCCGTCCGGCGCTTGTCCGCAGGGTGTGCTTTTTAGGGGTTGATTGCCGAGTGCCCGCCATTCCTGGAGTCCGGAGTTTGAGTTAAAAGCCTCGCCATTGGGTTGTCGAGTCCTCGCAGTAAGTAATCCAGGTTGTGCCTGCACACGTCCATGTTGGCCGCCTGGCAACCCTATCCGCCGAAACTTTCGCAGTGTGTACGCGAGGGAGCTGTGAAATTCTGCAAGTCTGCGCATGCCCGATCCGAACACAAAATCAAGGTATGGGCCAACACAAGCCCCCACCCACCCTCAGGAACGACTGAAGTCAGAGATTGCCTATGTCGCCCGCACGGGGGGTATGAGTGACAATTCGGGTAATAGATTTCTCTGCCAAACAAGGCGCCAATCCAATGACGCTGGGAACTCCGATTTGTGCTTACCTTTGCTATGGCCGATAGGGACATAGCGTTGTGGTGATACTTTGAGTAGTTAATTTTGAAGCCGTTCAGTGCCAACGCACACCAGGTGGACGAGTAAAAATGTTTCTGTGATCCGAGCCGGTTCACCAAAAGCGGCTTAAACCACCACGAAATTGACAAGAGTTTACTGTTTCCGCTCTTGGATCGGATCGGACTCTCTATATCGGGCCGCGTTTCACTAATCACCATCCACTAAATTCTTCGGAATTATGCAAATTTTGTTTTGGCAAACTTCTGTTGTTGTTTGCAGCCGCTGAAATGCACTCAAAAGCCACGAGAGGAGAACGCTAAGCGACAGCACACACAGCTATAGCGACAGGATATGCCAGGACGCAGGACGCAACTGAACGACGGAACACACTGAACTAAATAAACGAGTGCGAAAGCGAAAGCAAAAGAAAACGCAAACCCAAAGAGGACTATGATAAACTCCAGCAACAAAACACGAGTTGTGTGTGTGCGAAAGAGGAAGGGTGGGAGGACGAGAGCGAACACAACGGAACAGGAGAATGTTATGAAAGAGCTTTTGCCAAAAGCTTTCATTCACAATAGCAGGGATCAAAGGGTCTGACATAATAACAGGACCGTAAAGCTCTCATGCGACTTACACTTTATTATAGATGCTTTTTCGCCTCATTCCAATCATTTCCCACATTTAAGGCTACTGTTACTGCATTATTTCAACTCAAATATGTGTACATTTGAAATATACAATTATTTGAATAAACTGCCATCCCGCCAAATGCTTAGTTCTATTAGTTGTGCTCTTCTCTCGCATGGCTTGGCTTATGGTCACTGACGCGTATTGCTGTTGCTTCGCACAAAGTTCGAATTTTCGAACTCGACTCTCGTCAACTGTTCATCGGTTTTTATTAATACCCGATACTCAAAATGATTATAGGGGTATATTAGATTTGTGGTGAGAAGGGATGTGGAATCGTCCAGAAGGAATCGTTTCCGATTGATTATCAGCATCAATAGCCGAGTCCATTGAACCCTGTCTGTCTGTCTGTCCGTCCGTCACTCCGTCCCTATGAGCGACTAGTGCTCAAAGACTATAAGAGCTAGAGCAACGACATTTTGTATCCAAACTTCTGTAATATGTCACTACTAAACGTATATTTCAAAAGTTCGCCCCACCCCCTTCCGTCCCCCACAAAGGATGAAAATCTGTGGCATCCACAATATTAAAGATACGCGAAAACTAAAAACGCACAATCATAGAGAATGACCGTATCTAGAGATTGCTGAATCTGGATCAGATTTTTATAGCCAAAAGGAAACAAATTAAGTTGCAGTGGCTACGCAGCGCCCGACGACATGTTCAGACACGTTTTCTGTCTATATATCGGGTATAAGTGTAGAGTTGCGGCCTCCGCAGCAACTCACAACGTTCCCCCTCGTTTTTTTTACTTGATTTGACCGCAAAATTTTCGTCTAATAACTGCCCTATGTTTTTGATTCAAAAACCAAGCAAAGCACGTTCTTTACATCATAGAAGATGAACCATTTATTTTATTATAATTAGGGATTAGCGTTAAATCGGCGTATGCAATTGTTTGTGTTTAGTAGATATCGTGACACTTTTGCCAAAACTGAAAATTCAGAACAAATATACTTAGATAATGACGAACAACATGCCCATTTAGTCTTCAATGTATTCGAAGGGCTCTGGTGGCTCGGGCTCCTTCTCCTCATCGTTCATTGGACCGAAGGCGGCCACGGGTTCGACGAGTTCCTGTTCCTCAACCTTGCCGCTGTGCTGGAATACAATGATGCCGCCAATGGTGACCTCCTTGAGGGGCTCGTAGGTCTGGTTGTCTATGACGCTCAGGACCTTCAACTGTTGACGCAGGACGCGTGCGGGATTCTGGAGGATTTCGAAGTTCGGTTCCGGCTCTTTCTTTTCCTTCTTCTCATCTTTCTTGTCCTTCTCTTTGTCAGCGCTTGTGCCGGCCGCCTCTTTGTCCTTCTCCTTCTCATCCTCCTTTTTCTTTTCCTTCTCCTTCTCGTCCTTCTTCTTGGGTTTCTCCTCCGCTGCCTTCTCATCCGACTTGGCTGCCGGCTCGGCCTTCTCATCATCCTTCTTGGCTGGCGTTGCACCCTCCTTGCTGTCCTCATCCACGTCCATTTTGTCGTCTTCCTTCTTGTCGGCATTCTCGCGCCGCTTCTGTCTGGCGGCAATCGAGAGCACCGCCGTGGCCACCTTCTCTCGCTCCTCGCTCTTCTTCTCCTCCAGCGGGGCAGGGTAGGCGTACAGCGATGGCTTGGCAGCCGACTTGAACTCCATTTTGGGCATCTTCAAGTCCGAGTTCAGACCAATCACACACGTCGGCGTGAAGGCCAGCGACAGAGTGTGAGCCAGGGGGAACCAGTACCAGTACTGAGTGAAGGCCAGCATTCCGACGACAGCCTGCAGATTGGTGTGTCCGGTCCGTGATTGCAGCGAGAGCGTAGCGTTCCGTCCGCCGGCATCAATGATACCTAGCAATGGGGCAAAGCGATTATTTGTCATGTTTTACAATCCCACAAAAGGGGAGAACTCACCTTGTGCCAAGATGGCGCCGTATTTGGCCATGACATCCTCGTGTTTGTTGCTAATGACCTCCGCATACAGCTGGCGGAAGAAGGTGGTCTTGGGGCAGCTCTGGTCCGTGTGCTGTATGAGGATCATGGCCGAGGCAATCAATGCTCCCTGGCGCACAAAGTTCACGGGATCGAATTTCACCATCGGCTCCAGCAAAGCAATGGCTTCGCGCAGTCCAGTGCCGGCGCAGGCAATGCCCAAAGCCATCGCTGCGCCGTAGCGTACGTGCGGGTTGTAGGACTCGGCCAGCAGGCTGACCACCGAAGGGCACTGTTCCGGTGTGCGGAACAGTATGAAGCCAATGGCGGTGACGGCAGCCCGTCGGACATCATCGTTGACATCGGAGACGGCCACGTGCAGGAGTTTGCGTATGGCTTTGTTGCTCCCGGTTCCGTTGTAAGCCATGGCCAGGGTGTACATGCCGGAGCGACGCAGGACGGGATCCTTGTCGGTGGAAAGACTGGTGACGAGGGGATCGGCCTCCTCAAGGCGGGAGAACATGGTAAGCGATATGCCGACAGCCAGACCCCGAAGGATCTTCTCGTGCTGCGTTTCCTGCGCATACGACACCATATCCTCGATGGCCTGAGCGTTCTTGGAGCCCAGCATAACCATGCCCATGGCAATGCCCGCCGCCTCGCCGGTAACAGCATCATCCTGATACAAATTAAACTTCAACTGCTCGTACAGATCCTGTCGGTGGGTTCCCATACCAGCCAGACCGAGGCCCAGGCAGCCGCCGTGACGCACATTCTCGTTCTGGGCATCCTTCAGCTGCTGCAACAAGTAGTCAATGATATTGGCTCCGTGATTGGCATGTATGAGGCCCAGAGCATAGAGGGCGCCGCCCTCAGAGTAGCCAGAACTGGGACCCGCCTCTTTGGGCAAGTAGCTCTGCATCAGCGCCAGCGAATCCTTCTCGTGTCCCCGATGGATGACTCCCAGCGAAGCGGTGGCCGTTAATTTGGCCCAGTTGATCGCCCTCGCCAACCAATCCAAGTTGTCGCGCAGGAATTGATCTGAGGTTGTGCCGCTGTGCATGAAGGCATTGGCGATGACTGTGGCCGTGTGGCAGATGGACACGCGCACAGCCTCCTTGGTGCCGCGCAGCACCTGTAAATCGGCATGATTGCTGCGAATAAGGAACTGCAGCTGCAGATCAATCGAGATCTCGCCGGAGAGAATGGAAATCAGCTTCTCAATATTTTTCTGATGCAGTTTCTCCACCTCGTTCAAGGAATCGATTGTGCGCTCGACCTTGGGCTCGGCTAGATACGTAAAAAATGTAATTTATTCAACCGAAATGCTATACATTATAGAGTCCAAGACTTACGTTCTTTTTCTTCCGTAATATCTTCGTCCGGTTTGGCCTTATCTTCGTCAGACTTGGCCGCCGCATCGCCAGAGGTAGTCCCCTGAGGCTTGAATGTGCTGGGCAGGGCTGTGGGTATCGGTGCTGTATCCTTGAGAGCCTGCAGTACGTTGCCCAGAAACTCTTGGGTGGCCGACTCGTACAGATCAAATGCAATCTGATAGGCCATCAGATTGTTTGTCTCCACAACGGATCGTGTCAGAGCGTCTAGCATCTCTGCTACGGCCAGAGGATCCTCGAGGAATATCAAGCACTGGCACATGTTGACATAATCGGGCACGCCCAGGTCCTTGTAAAGGCCGACCAAACAGCGCAGTACTTCATTGCGGAAGCCGCGATTCTGTATCAGGGACATTGTCACATTGTAGGCATAGGCCAGCATGCCACGTACGTCGTCAGACTTCATGATGGCCACCGTAAAGATGTCCATGCGGCGGGTCTCCAGCGCAATGCCCAGAGCCTGCCTGAACTGGTTGTCGTCCAGGCAGCGCTGTATCATGCGATTCACAATGCCCTCGAGGCGCTCATCTACAGCGGTGGCCTCCTTGGGATTCTCAATGAATTGGACGCGTTGGGCAATGTAGAAATCAATGCACTTGGCAATGATTGTCTCCGTGTATTCGTTACGCGCATTCACATCGAACAGATCTCCAGCGCCCAGCGCATAAGTGAGGGCATCCTCGAATGATCCCAAGTGATAGAATACCTTGGAGGCAACCATGCCAGCCAGTTTGTTTTCCGGAAAACCTCTATCTTCATGGAGCATCTCAATTTTCTCTATGGACTCGGATATTTCCGGCCAAAACTCCTCCACAATGTTGTCCAGCTTCTTCAGGGCAAATACCTTAAGATCTGGCATCGGTTCATCGAGTAGGGATATTATCCCCGCGGCGGATGTAAGACTCATTTTGTGCTTCTTTTTTTCCAGCTGAATATCTGTTCTACAAATGTGTAATTGAGATATGTCAAATTTAGACACCGAACACTTTAAAAATATAATGTAATTAAGTTAATTTACTGCGTACTAACCAACAATTTGCTCCTTTTTTTATAAATTTTTCTTTATGCCGAAAATGCAAAATCACTCACATACAGTGTGGCCGTACTTCTGTATTGCATTGGACAAGCGGTAACGCGTCTTCAAAATACTGGAAAATAATACAAAATGTCTTGAATTGTGCGAGCTAGACGATGCCGATATGGGACAAGATGATGTCGTTTAAGCAACCCAATAACTGATATTTGTATATCAATGTTAAGTTTGGCACAAATCACATTTTTTTGAATAAGATATTTGAAATATTAAAAATACATACACTTCGTTATTATTTATATCGAAAGCAGCTCAAAATCAGGGTGACCATTTACGGTATATTATATACTTTTGAGTTGATGGTATATTTACGGTCAATTTTGAAAATGAGACGGTATATTTCTGGGGGTATATTTTATCGATAAGTCCAGTTTTTATTTTGTCTATTTATTTTGAATCCAACTTTAAAAATTGTTAATTGTTGGGTTTGATTTTGTAAAACGTGCAAAAACAAAGAAACTAAGAGTTCCTAAGTCCTGTGTTTGTTTCGTCCCGTGCCGGCAAACAATGTTGAATGTGTGCCGTCTGTGTCTCTCAAGCGACGCCAACTTTTTGATTTCCAATGGCCAAACCGCCCTAAAGATAATAGCTTGCACTGCTGTCGAGGTGCAGCCCAACGATGACCTGCCCCAAGTTATCTGCCCGGAATGTCTTTTGCGAGTCGAGGAGCACTATGCTTTTCGCAAACGCTGCCATGCTGCTGACAGAAGGCTACGGCGCAATAAGGTCCTGCAGAGCCGGGATCCGAAAGGCGGGCTGGTAGACACTTTGGTAGCCGCCGAGGAGGAGTTTGAGCTGCACGATGTGGCTGGCTGCACACCCACAGCCTGCTCCGAGAGCAGCGCCCAGTGGCGCATGCAGACGGCTCAACTGATCCGCTCCGAAATCGATTCTTACAAAAAGCAATTGCTCAGCGCATGCAAGAAGGAAATGCGCGCCGAGATAGAACAAGACCTGCGAAAGGAAGTGGAGGAGAAAATTGAGGAAGAAGCTAAGAAAAAGTGCCGCATCGGCGTCCTGGATGATGTTTTTCATGAAATGGAGCGATTCTTCGAGCGCAAACGCAACGAGACACTCTACGGCAATGTCGAACGCTGCGAGAGTTACTGGTCCGACTCGGACAATATGAGACTGAGAAGCATTACGTCCTCGAACCAGGTGATGGCGTTTGAAGGTTCCGAGTTGTACGTAGCTGAAGCTCCTGTTAAGCCTGATGAGGTCAGGGAAGACGGCAATGTGAGCTTTGTGGATCTTCTAGGTCAGTTCTTTTGATATGGCAATTCTCATCGTTGGCTAAAACTATTTCATACATTTCAGATGATGATTCAAACCCGAAAACTCCATCGACCACAGCACCAGAAGCAGTCGCAACTCCTGGGCCAATTGTGCCAGTACCCATGGTGGAAATACCCATATCGGATCTAGAATTGAATAACTTGCGAGAAGATTTCAACACCGACACCTTCCTGTCTTTTAGATCTACCGCTAACAAAACAACCCAGGTGAAGCCTTCACCTCACAAGAAAGTTCGTTCCCATCATCAAAAGGATCGCGACAAATTATGTCGCAAGCACAGCCGACGCTACGATCCAGCATCCGTGGATCCTGCCAATTGTGTGCGCTGTCGTCTCAGGCACGGAGATAGGCATAGTTCGACATTGTCGAAGTGTCAGCAGAAATAATGGCCAATAACCATGTAACCATGGTTTTTTTTTTTCATAGCTCTATTTATCAACATACTATTATCATAATCGGTCGTATATATAAAACATACTTTTTTTTGGACGTATAAAAAATAAAATAGCCTATTTACACTACCGTACGTTTGCTATCGATATCGGAATAGACGCAGAATAGGCATTTGCACTGGCAGACGCAGGAACGTAATGAGAATAAGTGCAATGTTCTCCAGCAATGTCTTTGCGGCCTTAGGGGTACACAAAATTTAAAGTAATTGTTTTAACGATTCTTTGTTAATTTGTACTTTTCCCTCAGCTATATTTTGTACGCGCCAAAGTTTAATTTTGGATCTGCATACTAGGGAACTTCGCTCCCTGAAAACTTATGTCCTTGAATCATTTATTCCAATGGATTACTTTGAATAAACCTTGTTGTAGACACAATACAATAAAAAGTAGGCCTAGAACTCAATGGGCAGATCCAATGGTCTTAAATTGCCAGCATTATTCGACGGAATATTAAAAACGAGAAATATTCATGATGGAACATGAAATTCGTCAGTATATTTATGGTATATTTTAAAAATAAGACGGTCTATTTTAGTATATTTCTGAGGGTCAGACCGTATATTTTATCTGACGTATATTTTGGTATATTTCTGAGGGAATCAGAATTGTTGTTCTTGAAAACAATTCGAAAAAGATAGTTTGCGATGCCAGAGGCGGAGTTGTGTTACCCCGACTTGAAGACCTTGTGCCGCCTGTGTCTGAAGGAGCATCTAGATGCCCACACCATATTCGGCGACGATGCCACGGGGCTCTCCATTGCGATGCGTCTGATGGCCTGTGTCTCACTGGATCCAAAGCCATCAGATCCATTCCCCAAAAAGATATGCGACGAGTGCCGCTACCAACTGGAGAAGTCCTTCCTGTTCCGCCAACGCAGCCAGGCAACAGAGAAAAAATTGCGCAAACACATTCGTTTGCTCGGCTTGGGCAAGAAAAGCCGCGTCTTTTCAAAGGAGTCGGACGACTACGACGAGGATGAGCTGGAGTTCGAGGAGTCGGTGGCATTCATAGCAAACCAAGAGAAGGTGCGCGAGGCAGAGGCCGAGAAATGGCGTGAAAAGTTCAAGGAGAATCAGGAGCAGGAGTTCGTCAAGCGTTTGGAGGCCGCGCGCCTCGAGTTGCGCCAAGAAGTAGCTGCAGAGGTTCGCAAGGAGCTGGCCGACGAGGTGCGCCAGGATGTGCGGGAGGAACTTCGCAACGAAGTGAACGAGGAGATTCGCAGGGAGCAACTGGCCAAACTCGTGGGCGAGCTAGAAGTATTCCTAGTCGAAAAGAAAGCTGGTTCGTGGGAACCTATGGATCCGGACGTAAAGCTTGCCCCAGAGCCCGTTCCAGATTCGCCCCCCGCCATACTTCCCAAGCATCCAATTAAACGACGTCTCAGCTCTGCCTCGAAGCACCCGCCCGCACAATGCCTGAAAGCGGAAGAGGTCGAATTTGTGTTGGGCGGCGATCCAGAGACTTCAGCCGCTGATGAAGTCGACTTGGATCCGATCGACATAGAGGAAGACTCTCCAACAGATGTCACTGCTCACGAATTTACAGATATTAAGATGGTCGGTGTCGGTGCTGGGGATGTGGTGAGGACCGAGGATGGGGAAATTTACATTATCAATTCGACCAGTACGGTGGAACCCAAGCACGACTCCCCTCCTCCGGAGTTTCAACAGGACAGCGACATCACGTCCTACAACAGTTAGTATGAAAAAGGAATCTCATATAGATTATCCCTGTTTAACCTGTTATCGTGCAGTTAAGGACGACGGGGAGATTCAGTTCAGCGGTGAGAAGTCTGAGGAAATGGGCGATGTTGTGGTATTTAACTTGGACGGCGACATATCTGAGGAGCAGCAGGTCTACAACTTTGAGCAGAACCTCATTATTGTGGTAAGTCGATTAAAGGCTGAGGCATGTTCCCTATTACATTCTGTGCGTCCTTTCAGCCCAAAGAGAAAACACCCAAACGGGAGAGCCGGCAGGTCGGCAAACGGAAGCGATCGAGCGAGTTCGTGTCAAAGCAGTCGCCTCGCGAGCCTCAACCAAAGGCCTGTCGAGTCACCGATACGGTCAAGACATTTCAATGTCAAATGTGTCCAACGGCCTTCCCCACGGAGAAACTGCTGACGCGACACCACAATGCGCACATAAAGAACCTGAAGAACGGAAAGGGCGGCTCGCTGCAGTGCCCCATTTGTGAGCTGCAACTGTCCTGCGCCAGTTCCCTCAAGCGCCATATGATTATCCACACGGGCCTCAAGCCCTACAAATGTGATTCGTGTGACCTGTCTTTTTCGCAGCGCGAAGTCCTCAAGCGCCACATGGACATCCACACGGGGGCCAAGCGTCACAAGTGTTCGCAGTGCTCGAGTTGCTTTGCCCAAAAGTCCAACCTGCAACAGCACATTGCGCGTGTGCACATGGGTAACTCACGTACGCACAAATGCCATCTTTGTGATCGGAGCTTCAATCACGTGTCCGGCCTCAGTCGCCACCTCGTTGCCCATGCAGGCGTGATGTTCTCCTGCACGGAATGTGGGCGGCAGTTCAACGATCGGAGCGCCGTTCAGCGACATCTGCAGACAGTCCACAAAATCCAAAACAAAAGTGTCGACTATGCTTCCGAGCCAGAGCCAGAGTTGAGCGAGATTGAGTTTCAATCGGTTTAGTCTTCCTCTGCCTAAAGGCGGGATTTTCTCACTAGAGATTTAGCTACAACACAGAGGATTTCATACTGTACTTAATGTTTGCTGTGCCAGAGGGGGAACAGCAATAACCATTTGTAATTAGGTTACTTCGAATAAGTTAGAACTTTATTCTGAAACTAAAGGGAGATGCTCACAACAGTTGGCACCAAATATCATCAACATATGTATTGGATTGTTTTCGAAAACATGCAAACATTGAAACAGTTCTTTAACACGATATACGATATAAGATACACGACACACAATACAATATATAATTTCTAGCTAGACATAGTACATACATATAGTACCTATACGTATAGTATATGTAGTTACAAATACAAAATATCGTTTAATAAATACCACATAAGATGATGTACAATACGATATAGGTAAATACATGTATTTTAAATGATAATTTCCTCTATAAATACGTATAACTTAAAGCTTAAGCTAAAAACGGACTTGAAATGCTTCGGAAACAGAAACCTATATGCCAAATGTACCTATATATCAGATATATGTTTTTTTGTTTGCTTGTTTGCAAAATCCAATGAAAGTGTGTAATCGGAAGCGCCTTTCAAGCGAGAGAGATTGCCTACAGAGAACGACATGCATTGAGTGTGTTGAGTGGCAATTGAGAAGACATCGAAACCGTTTAACAGTTGGTTTGGTATGCGTAAAGCGCGCTTTAAAGCCAATAACAATCCAATATGCGCCCTAACTAACTAATCCATACAATATCCATAATAACGAGTAAGTTTTCAACTTTTTAGACGCGTCGGCGTCGGTGTAGTGCTACTACCCCCAACTGCTCTCTGCTAGTCGGAGTTGGTCAGAGAGCTGCGCTGGGATTCCAGTGTGTTCGAGTCGTTGCGCTGACGCAGCATGCGCGGCTGACTAGCAGCAAAGTTGGAGAAGTCCTTCATCACATCCTTGTACGTCTCGTCCTCCCCATTGTATTCGTCGTTCAGGCCAATCTCATCGTTGAGTCGCGTCAGCCGAAGACTGTAAAATATGGAAATTAGCATTGCATCAACGATTCGATTCTTCAAAAGTATTCTTCTTACAGTGTGACAATGTCGGCGTTTTTCTGATCAACGGCTATGTCCAGCGCCTTCTTGCCATCACTCGAGGCCAGGTCGTAGGCGGCCTTGTTTTTCAATAGCAGATACACCTGGGCAATGTGCCCCTTGGCCGTGGATATGTGAAGCGCACTGTAGCCGAGCTCATCGACCGCATCGATTACTGCTCCGTTCAGCAGCAGATACTCGCAGGCCATCACCGAGCCAGAGATGACGGCCTGGTGCAGGAACGAGCGCTGACGATCCTGGGGATTCTTCCATGTCTTGTCAGCGCCCAGGGCAAAGGCCATGCACATTACAGGAAGATTGTGCACAACAGATGCCTTGTAGAGCAACTGATTCGCGTCCAGCTGTGTGAAGGGCACCTCCTCCGGTAGCTCCGGATCGGACTCGCCTTCGGTGCTCTCCTGGTCGCTGCCCAGAATGCAGGGCGTCTCATACCTGTCCAGGCCTAGGTCATCGCCAATGACCAACAAATCGTCGCGCGAGATGCTCAACGACATTGATGGAATGTTGATGGACTCGTCATCGTCATCTTCGTCCAGCTCGTCGCCCGTTTTGGCCGTGTTATAGATGCTTGGGTCGTCGCTCAATGTTTTTGGCAGAGAACGCTGCTGTCGCCTCCTGCGCAGCTTCTTGACAGCCCATTTTCGTGTTCCGCCCAACGGCAGCGTGGCATGCTTTCCAAGAACGTTGCTGCCCCCACCACCGCTGCCACCTTCGTCCGCCACACCGCCGCTGTCTATGCTCAGCACCTCGGCTGTTTCACTGGCCAGCAGCTCCTGTGGCTTGGGCATGGCGCACACGAACCGTCGCTCCACATACTTTGCCTTAATCCAAGCCTCGCGCACTCCAATCTCGCACTGCTCCGTGGGACGCTTCAGCTCGCAGTCATCGCCCACCCGCGCCTCATATATACGATTAACCACCTCGTTTCCGAGCTCCATCATGACCTTGACATTCTCCGTTTCCCAGGCATCCAGAGTCAGGGAGCGGACCTTGCTGTAGTGGACGCCGAGGCTGCGATGGACACCAGAGCATTCGATGCACAGCGTAATGCCCAGATTGATGGAGGCCCAGCGAGGATCCTGGCTGCGGCAATCGCAGCACTGTGCATTGCCGGGTATCTTTAAAAACTCCTCCCAGTGGCTGCATGGAATTGTAAATCATTATTATTATTATATTTCCTTATTATGGGTTTTCCACTTACATTCTCCGCTTTGCGGGCAGTGCATTGGGCATGTTCGTCGACTGGGGCCGCGAGTTGTGCGTGGCGTCATGCTGAATAGCTGCCCCAATACTGTGCTGCAGTGCGGAAATCCACAGGGAAAGCATATCGGCTGAGTCAGCCTGCAGAATGTGAGATCTAAATGGGAGTGGCATGCGATTAGAACCTGCTATCTGTGAGTTTGGATGGCAGCAGCGGTTCAGGTACTCACTTGGTTGGCGAAATCACTTCGAAGCAGAAGCGGCGATCGCCCTCGTTCACCGGCCGCACACTGCAGATGCGCAGGTCCTCCTCCATAACCGAAAACGAGTCTTCGTTGCTGCGTTTTCTGCAATGCGAATCCAAATCACTTCAGCGTTCAGCACAACACATCACATCACATCACAACACAATAAAACATCACAAAAATCAAAAGTTTGCAAATAAAAATAGACGATTAACTAAGCAAGCAAATGGTGGGGGTTTATTGGGTTTGGGATTGGTGTTGGTGTTGGGGTTGGGGTTGGGAGGATGTTTAAAATGATCAATGGAGAGCCATGAGAACCCACCTGTAGACCAACTGGTTGTCGCTCAGATAGAACCAACGCCTGCACCAGGTCTTGAAGCCCTTTGATTTTTTCTTAAACAAATAGCCCTCGATTTTGTTCGAGGAACTGTTCGTGTTCGAATCGCAATAGCGATTCACGCTCATGTGCCGATTCTGCATGACCTTTTCCAGCTGCTGGTAATCGCCGCGCAGGGCATTCAAGTCCTCGCTGATGTTCTTGAAGAACTCGTCGAAATCGTTGCACAAGTCAAAGCCCTGATGGTAGTAGGTCACGCACGCCTGATAGTAATCCAGCAGCTGTTGACGGTACAACCGCAAAAAACACATGCAAAATATACAAGAAGATCAGCATGAAAACGTGACAAATACAAAGAAAAGGCTGGTCAGACAGAGTGAGTCCACGTCGATCCGGCAGCAAGCACTCTCGATAGACAACTGGCGGACACTCAACCACTGACTCAACGAACATGTTGATCAATGGCTATAGATATGCAATGTACGGGCGAAAACAGCAAGCCGTACATATGTACTTATCTATATATCGCACAATAATTGTGACGTCATGCCAATAACAAAAAACCCCTGCTCCGTGCACTTATTTACTGAAGCAGCGCGGAGCAGAGAAGAGGCAGAAAACCCCTTTTCATTCATGAAAGATAAGTAATTCTTAGACTGGCCGCTCTTTGGAGACTTCTTGCTTACCGTGGACAGTATTGATGGGACCTTGCGAGACTGCGCCAGCGTTATATAGTTGACATAGTCCAAGGCGGTGTGCTGGAAGCAGGACTTGGAGGCGGCAAGGATATTGGCTGCCTCCTGCACTTCCTGCGGACGATTTTTACTGGCCTGCGCAGAAAAGAGGGCTTACAGATAGGCTTATAAAATAGGATATAGTTTTGAAACACACCTGTGCGTTCTTGATCAATGCATTGTCATAGCCCTCGGAGACCTTGAGAAAGTGTCCCTTGTAGTCCTTCACCTGATTGATGTCGTCCTTTACAAATACAGTGAGATTTTTGAGCACCGTGCGACTGGCCTGATCCAACAGAGTCGTATGAAACTTGTTCATTTCCTGCCAGGAATCCAAACAAAAAATGGTTAAGCTTTAGGAGCCTTTTTTTGGCGGTGACAACCTGCTTGGACCCACCTGGAAACAATGAATCAGCTTTCCCAGCGCATTGTGGGCGTTTTTGTTGTCTAAAAAATGCTGCTGCAGATCCCACAAGGACATGGCAAAGGCGCTGTGGACATGGCAGGTGGAAGTCGAATCGATATCAATGAATATGCATGAGGCGGAATTTATATGCGCATTTACCTCTGGTTCTTGACATACTCCTTCCCCGAGTCGACGGCCACATTGCACAGCTTGATGATTTTCTCCAGCCGCTGCTCCAAGTGCTCAATATCGCTCTCCTCCTTGGACACAAATTGTCTGGACACACACACACAAACACAAACAAACAAAAGCAAATTGAAAACGTTAGCACAATCTTGAAAATGTAAACAACAGCACAGATGCTGTAGATGGTAGGAATGGGAATGGGAATGGGTATGAGTATGGGGATGGATGCTGACGTTGCTCTTGCTGTTGTACCGATTAAAGTTGCCTCTGAACAAAACATTATCTGTGCGTGCTTAATCCAAGAAGCCATCGGCCGTCGGGGTAGGAGGCTCGCTCACTCTTTGTGTCGTTTTGTGTTTACGATGACACTTTTAATTTATGCCATGCCGCTTTATTAAAGCGATATTTGCGCCTCCAATTAAAGTGGCGCTGCAGGGCAGGCCGAACTGTTGCGTCGCCTCTTGTGGGGCTAATCATCTCCACTGCTGCTCTCTAAAAGCATCGATTTGTCGCCTCATCGGGTTTGTTTCGGATTGTTTCTTTTTTTGTGTTTACGAGCGAAAGCAGAGTCAATTTTGGTGAAATCTTATCATCTCGACAATTAGTGGGGAGACAATAGAAATTGTTGGGACCAGTGGATGGACGGCATGACGGGGGGAGATGCAATAGTTTTTCATTGGCAGATAAATGTAAATTCCAAAGCAGTGACGGGACGGGCAAGTGCAAAGTTTGTTCGATTGATGATTAAGCCCGAAACAGCCAGCGTTTGAGCCGTGGATGGGGAACGAGAGACAGAGTCAGAGAATAGGAGAATGAGGGGGTGGGTGGTGCTGATAGCAACCAGTCACGCTACATGGCCCGAGGCTCTGCTCTCTCGCATAAGCAGCTCAGCCAAAGATACGCGAGATCCGTGACATGGTATTGGTATGGCCTTGATACGCACCTGAATCTCGGCGAATCCTTTAGGCATTCCTCAAACTCGATTGTGGCGCGCATTATTAAACACACACGAAGGCACCTCCTCAGCACCCAACACACACGCTGCCTGGCTGGCCTGTTGCTGTGGCACTTGC